ATTCGGCAAATATTGAAAAATGAGCTCGGCGTAAAGCCATTGAAATTCCAAAAAGTGCAAGAACTTACACCGCAACAGAAACAAAGTAGACTCAAAAGACCTAAAGAGTTGCCGCTCGGCCGAAAGTGTTGAACTGCCGAACTTGGTTTCTCCGATGAGAAAACATTCGTTGTCCAGCAGTTTGTAAACAAACAAATTGAACATGTTTACTTGCCAAAGAGGTCAGCTGAAAATGTGCACCTTTGGTTGGCCACCAGAACTCAAGCGCCGGCCATGGTGATGGTGTGGGCCGCCATAAAAGCCGATGGTCGCTCTCCGCTCGTATTAATCGAACGTTGCATCAAAATAAATGCCTAATATAATCGCGAAAATATTCTGGAATGTGTATTGAAACCTTGGGCACGCAAACATTTTGGCTGCAGACCTTGGACATTCCAACAGGACTCAGCACAATCGCACTCAGCACGCGCCACCCAAGAATAGTTACAAAATGAGGTTCCTCGCTTCATTTGCAGCGTACAATGACCACCAAAATCTCCGGATACCAATCCGTTGGACTATTGTGTCTGGAGTATTTTGGAAAGCAAGTTTGGCACTAAAAAATACCAGAGTGTCGATCACCTCAGGCAGGCGCTTCGTCGGGAAAGGGGCCAAAATACCGCAGAGGATCATTCGGGCAGCCTGTGACGGTTTCTTGGCCGTTTAAAGACCATAATTCGTGCCAAAGGTGACCAATTCGAACAAATCTTAACTTATACTAAAATTTGATGCTATTTTCGACATTTGTTGCTTTCAATAAAGAAAATTAAAAAAAAATATATAAAAAGGCGTTTGACTTTGTTGCAGTTTTTTTATCTCACCCTGTATTACGGCTGTCGGGGAGTTAAATATCAAAGCGGATGAAACATATATCTGAACCGATTTTCACCAATTTTCATAAAGTTACTTCTAGGTTAAATTCGGTCGAATGGGCCAAACTCCAGTTCATTTTGGGCTAATATTACATATTAGGAGCAAAATAAAATTGAAATCGGTTAAAGATGGTGTAATATGTCAATGCTAAAATAAGTGGTTAGTGGGCGATTTAATAAGCATTAACAGCTGCCAAAATGTACTTCATTAGCTCATTATTTGCTTAACTGTAATTTAGATACTTTGAAGGTTTGACCGTCAGATTCGGTCAAACCTTCAAAGTATCTAAATTACTTAAATCTATTGTAGAGCCATCTATATTTCAAATATGAACGTTTTAAGACTAAAAATTATTTGTACAGTCATGGTTAAGAAAGAAATCTCTACACTTATTCGAAGAGCATAATTATAGCAACAAAAACTAGTAAAGTCATGAACCATGGCCAACAACCGCCAAAGACCAAAGACATATAATAAAATAAGATGGGACATTACATTTCCACTTTTCCTCAATAGATGGCGTTGGTTGTGGAAAAATATGTTATGTCACGATATCGCGACATAGCATTATGTTATAATTTAACAGAGCTGACGTTTTTTAAGGGTTGTTGTTGATTTTATCGATTCAATGTACAAGGAAATGCTATGCAATAGATTTTTGAGATCATGCCTATCATACCTGACATTTTTTTCCTCGTATTTCCGCCAATTTTCGGCGATATTGGAATAACATATTTTTCTAAAATTTCTAATGCATTTCTGTTATGTCGCCTGCCATCTATTAACTGATGGAAAAATTAAATCCCATATGCATTTTGTCCAATCTTTATAGTTTTATGTCTTTGGATGGGATATTGCATTGTAGCTTTGTTTAAATAGATGGTGCTGGTAGCAGAAAAATATGTCAAAATATCGTGACATTGGATTATGTTATAAAATAACAAATCTGGCACTTTTGTTGTTCGAATTTCCTTAACTTTTTGTTCAAATCCAACTCTATCACTTCCCCAAATACCAATTATAGTACCATTTAGAACTATTCGATTCTTCAAATCTCAAACCAACACACTAACAGTAACCACAATATCAACATTTCCATCTCCATCCGTTCACTCAAATTCAGATTGTACCAAATTTAGTACAACCCTTCACACATTAGTGCACATTTCAAAAGCCACCTCCTAGTTCCCCATCTTAATTCTTATACAAAATATCGACATTTTAGCTTTATCCTATCACATAATATCAAATGGTACCAAATATAGTGTTTTATAGTACTAAACTAACATTTTTAGTTCGAATTAAAAAAAAAATTAATGCATTTAGGCTATAACCCATCAGCGGCCTTCATCCCGAATTTGAAAGTCTGCCTCTATCCGTTTGATCAGTATAATGGATAAAATTTTTAGCGCCTTTTTAGTACAGGGTGAGATAAAAAACTGCACCAAAGTCAAACGCCATAATTTTTTTAATTCTATTGAATTAAAGCAAACATATTAAAAAAACAGTAAGTTCGGCCGGGCCGAACTTTTAATACCCTCCACCATTTGCAACGAATTTGGAAATTTTTAAAAATAAAATCCTTAAAAAATTCTGTTAAAATTTTAAAAATACCGAATATAGCCGTTATATTGGGGTCTATACGACGTGGACATACATAGGCATTGTTTGTCATAAGCCATTACCATATTCAAATAAGAAACTTGAAAAAAAAAGGTGAATAATGTAGCTAAAATCATCAAAATATCGTATAGGGTAAGTGTACCAGTAGTCGTCACTTCTAGGATTTTCGCGTTTTTAATCGCTCACCATTCTGAGGGGAACATTTCAATTATTACAAATTTAATTTATTCATATTCGAAATTTTGTATAGTTTTTGCAATAATAAATAAAGTTTTAATAACTTTTTATTAAATTTCATAAATTTGTAGTTTTATTAAAACAATGTTTTTTGCCAGTAGTCGGCACCACTTGCCAATTGTCGATATGGCATGTTCCAACAGTCGGCATACCAATTTTTTTTGTAAGAATAATTAATAATAATAAATTAATTCAATAAAATATTATATTTTTGCTTAGGTAAACTGATTCGACGTCTTTATTGTGCTTTTCTTAAGAATATGAATTGTTGAGGACCTTCACAGATAAAGATTTAAATTTTATTAGAATAAATCATCTTTTCTTAGCGAAACTTGCACATAGATAGCTGGCAATATATTTGAAGTAAACAAAATACATTTAGTTATAATAGTTTCATTTGTTTGGGCTTAAAAATAAAAAGTGCCGACTACTGGGACATGCCGAACTTAGGCACACTTACCCTATAAGGAGGTGCCGTTAAATTGGAGCTGTGCGAAGACCTGTACCAGCATAGACAATTTTCTGTCACAAGCTGTAGCATACATTACGAACTTCAAATACCAATTTTGAAACAATTCCGGTGAATAATGTCGCTAAAATCATCAAAATACCGAATATAGGGAGGTACCGTTATATGGGGGCTATATGAAAACGTGGACCTACATGGCCCATTTACGAACTTAACCTGCCTACTGGAAAAATAAACATGTGTGCAAAATTTTAGCCATCTATCTCAATTCATTCGAAAGATAGCGTGATTACAACAGACAGACGGACAGACAGACGGACATCGCTAAATCGACTTAGAATTTTACGCTGATCAAGAATTGTTGGGCCTGACATGAGTATTTCGAGGAGTTACAAACGGAATGACAAAGTTAATATACCCTCCATAGTATGGTGGAGGGTATAAAAATATGGAAAATAGCATCAAATTTTAGAATAAATTTTTGGCCCCTTCCTGGCGAAGCCCTTGCTTGAGGTGATCGACACTTTGGTACTTTTTAGTGCCAACCGTGCTTTCCAAAATACTCAAGGCACAATAGTCCAACGGATTGGTATCCGGAGATTTCGGTGGTCATTGTTCACTGGAAATGAAGCGAGGAACTTTATTTTGTAACCATTATTGGGTGGCGCGTGCTGAATGCGATGGTGCTGAGTCCTGTGGGAATGTCCAAGGTCTGCTGTCAAAATGTTTGCGTGCCCAAGGCTTTAATACACCCTCCAGAATATTTTCACGATAATATTTATTCTGATGCTATGGTCGATTAAGACGAGCGGAGAGCGACCATCGGCTATTATGGCGGCATACACCATCACCATGGCCGGCGCTTGAGTTCTGGTGGCCAACCGAAGGTGCACCTTTTCAGCTGACTCTTTGGCAAGTAAACACGATCATCTTGTCTGTTTACATACTGCTGAACAACGAATGTTTTCTCCTCGGAGAAAACCAAATTCGGCAGTTCACCAATTTCGGCAAAGCGATGCAACTATTTTTGAGTCTATTTTCTTTCTGTTGTGGTGTAAGTTCTTGTACTTTTTGAAATTTCAATGGTTTTACCCCAAGCACATTTTTCAATATTTGCCGAATGGAATATTGCGATATGTTTAGCTCACGAGCCATTGTTCGGCCACGCGGCGCGTTTTTCAATCAAGTCGCTGCTTTACTTTTCGAACCATTTCTGATTCCGCCCACTTCCTTGACGTCGGGCTACGCAACCAGTATCACGATAACGAGCGATGGTACGAGGCACAAAAGATTTATTTACATTTAAATGCTGGAGTGCTCTAACGATAGCCGCTTGAATTCCATCACGAATAACTTTTTTTCCGGAAAATTCCCACCAAAATGCTTTTGAACGCTTGTAAACAATATAATGAGCTGTCACTGGAATAATTTTAACAGCCGTCGGACGAGTGGCTTAGAAATGACAGCAGTCTGAAATTGGTTGCAGTTTTTTCATCTCACCCTGTACACATATGAAATAAATAAATAGTGTAACTAACACGACATTCTTAAAAATTCTATATATTATACTTATACCAAAATAAAATCAATCTATACATATATACAGCGTTTCTGTTAAGTTAAATGTGGAAGATGCATTTTGCACGTATCTCCAGCATGATGTGCAAACTAGCCTTTGGCTCTCAATATAAGAAGAAAGCCGCTCATTATCACTAAGAGCAAAAAAATTCGTTTTATTAAATATTTAATTAATTCATCATTTATTTTTCCGTTCTGTTTAGAATCTATTTTTGATATCTAAGCTAATTTAATTTTAATGCAAGTTTTCATTCGGATTAAAATGTTCGAAGACAAAATTTTCGGTAATATTAATAAAATATGTTGGGATATTTCCACGACCTTTAACCTCTGTCATGCCACGATACTTACAAATCACATTAAACGATTTTAAAACTTCAGCTACTTCTTCAGTGACTTGAATGCGACCTAGTTCGCCGGTAGAATCCATGCGAGAAGCCATATTCACAGCATTGCCCCATATATCATAATGAGCCTGGGAAGAACCGACAACACCGGCCATTACCTCACCGCTGCTTATGCCTGTAAAAAATTAATAAACAGAGGGTATATATCATTTGATACGGCCACAACGTGCCACATCTAAATAACGGCTTTAGATCCTAGGTCGTTTTGGACCAAATCCGTTTCAGAACATTTGGAGGCGATCTAGCTTTATCTGACTAATGCGCACGATAACTCGAAAGGAGTATCCGATTTGGTTCAATCTTGGTACATTGCAATATTATTATTAAACTTAGAGTTCGGAGATGGGCAATATCGGTCCACCCCTTCTGCTTCCTCTCCCCAAATAGTCGAAATTTCAAAAAAAAATGTGTTATTGCCCTTCTGGGAAGGATAATACGATTTTGCTCCTACTTTGCAAATCCTAATATTTGCATCAGTGCTAGCTCAGGTGCGAAAATGGACAATATCGGTCCACTCCATCAAATACCTCCCCCACAAAGGGTCAAAATTTTGGATAATTATAAATCTTATAAAATGTGATATAAGAGTCCGATTGTCTTCACACACATCACAATATTTTTAATAACCCAAGGACTGGTGTGAAGATGGAATATATCGGTCCACACCTTCTGGTACCTTCCCCACAAAGGTTCATGAGGGTCATAAAACGCAAAATTAACATCCGATCTCATTCAGTTTTGGCAGATCTCAATATTTCTATCAACACAAGATCTGTTATAAAGAAGGTAGAGATCGGGCCATTTCTTCTGGTACCTCCCCCACAAAGGGTGAAAGTGGTGTATAACCAAAAATATTATAAAATCCGAAATAAGCGTCCGGTTATCTTCATATTTCACACATCCAACTATTTCTACCATCTTCAAATTCCACACATCCAAACATTTTTGCTAACACAAGATCTGTTGTGAATATGATATATATCTGCGAACCCCTTCTGGTACGTCAACCAATAAGGGTCACAATTTCCAATGCTTATATCTGTCATAATTTGCGAAAAAAAAGTCATCGATTCTTTACAATCTACTAAAAATTTCTATAAACCAGAAGCCTGAGGTTAACCCCTTCTGGTACGTCAACCAATAAGGGTCACAATTTCCAATGCTTATATCTGTCATAACTTGCGAAAAAAAGTCATCGATTCTTTACAATCTACTAAAAATTTCTCTAAACCAGAAGCCTGAGGTTAATATAGAATTTATGATTTCGCAAAATATTGGATAAAAATATTCGATTTTCTTTTAATTTTGCCTATACCAATATTTTTATCTATATTAGATGTAATATGAGAGTGGAATATTTTGGTCGTCTTTATCTGGTACCTTACGCACATTTTAACATTTTCTGAAAGTTATCACATATCTCATATAAGGTGAAGGAAATAATTGGACTATCAGGCATGTCACAGAAGTTTTACGAAATCGATTTATTTCACCTTTTCCAAATCGTTACGATTTGCTTTTGCTTCTTCAGCACTTGTACGTTTTGACTAATCCGGAAAAAAAATCATTTCACATTTTTGAAATAAAAATATGGTAACTCCATGAAAAAAAAAGTCGTAAACAAATTATTGACAATTAAAAAAGGAGTTTAAATTGTTTTTTATAATATAAACACCAAAAGTAAAAATGCCAGGGGCTTCAATACTTGCTGTAATGGATGAAGAAATAAATCAGCGGTTTACTGAAAAAATTCGTCGCCGGCCATTGAGGAACGCATCAGATCCTTTATCTCACTCAAATTTAGAGTAAGGATCCACCAGTAATGAGTTATTTTCAAATTTATTTTAATAACAAGTAAAAAAACATTAAGTTCGGCCGGGCCAAACTTTTAATACCCTCCACCTTAGGGTAAAAGAAACATTAGAAGAAATGTGGCAAAAACCATTAAAATGCCGATTATGGGGAGGTACCGTTATATGGGGGCTATACCAAAACGTGGACCTATAATTACAATGTTTCGCCACCGGAGCTGGAACCCATTATGACCCACAAATAGCAATTTTTAGACAAATCAGTGAAAAAATGTGGCAAAAACCATCAAAATACCGAATATCGGGAGGTACCGTTATATGGGGGCTATATCAAATCATGGACCCATGCATGCAATGTTTCGCCACCGAAGCTGGAACCAATTATGACCAACAAATACCAATTTTCGAACAAATCCCTGAAAAAATGTGGCAAAAATCATCAAATTACCGAATATCGGGAGGTACCGTTATATGGGGGCTATACCAAAACGTGGACCTATAATTACAATGTTTCGCCACCGGAGCTGGAAACCATTATGACCCACAAATACCAATTTTTAGACAAATCGTTGAAAAAATGTGGTAAAAAAAACTAAAATACTAAATATCGGGAGGTACCTTTATATGGGGGCTATACCACAACGTGGACCTATACATGCAATGTTTTGCCACACGCTCAGGGACCCGCTATGACCTACAAATACCAATTTTAAGACAAATCCGTGAAAAAATGTGGCATAAATCATCAAAATACCGAATATCGGGAGGTACCGTTATATGGGGACTATACCAGAACGTGGACCGATATATCTCATTTTCAATACCAACCATCCTAGACACAATGCAAATAGCTCTGCTAAATTTTGGAGCTCTACGTCAAATAATGTGGGCTGTATCGTGATTTCAACAGACAGACAGACGGACAGACAGACAGACAGACAGACGGACAGACAGACAGACGGACATCGTTAAATCGACTTAGAATTTTATGCTGATTATGAATATATATACTTTATGGGGTCTAAAACGAATATTTAGGGATGTTACAAACGGAATGACAAAGTTAATATACCCTCCTTTCCAAGGTGGAGGGTATAATAATTTATTTCTACAGATTTATAACTTATTATCGGCTAAATAAAGAAGCTTTTGTTTTAGTTTTGGAAAAAATTTCTCCCCACCTCAAACGTTCCAATATACCGGCTATTATCCAGCTTGCAACAACGCTTAGGTTTTTGGCTACGGGTGCATTTCAAGGAGTTATAGGTAGAGATATGGAGCTAAGCCTTGGGAGAAGTACAGTTTCTACAATTATGTGGAGAGTTATTAATGCAATTGAAGCTGAAATTTGTCCACATTGGATCAAATTAAGAATGTCTTCCGAAGAAAAAAGAAAGTCGAAATTGTACTTTTTTGAAAATTATGAAATTCCAGGAATTGTAGGATGCATTGACGGAACTCACGTTAGAATGGTTAAAACTTCCGAAGACGAATCCTTTTTTGACTGAAGCGCTCTGTCTCAAACCAAACAATTAATTGTTTTTTTGTTTTTCCTCTTTCTTGCTTTTTGGTCTGTCAGTTGTACATTTCTACACCTTCTTCTTCAACACATATGGCAATAATTCAACAATACAAGTCTGCCGTTCATTTCTGCATATTTTTTTGCGTTTTCATCATGGATTAGAAAAATAATAGATTTTTGGAAAAATAAATTCCAAAAACATGTCCATTCTAAGAGAATTTGGTTAATACAATATTTTCTGTTAAATGTATGTGTCTTCTGTTTATTTTTTACGTTAAAATCACTAAACATTTCAATTTCACCCTGCTTTTTGAAAGTGATATCAAAACGCAAAATTTTTGCGTTTTCCGTTTTTTAGAGAAGCTAAAACCGTTTTCGTTTTCACTCTTGAACGATTTTACATTCTGTGACATGCCTGTATATCACCTGGCACATCACAATATTTATATCATATTTATTTACGTACGATGTGGAATGGTCCATTAGTCCATTCCTTCGGAACCAACTCCATTTTTTACGGGAAGTTCTGAAAAATATTTGGAATGGCTCTTTTCTGACTGATCCAATATACAAAATACACATTTGTATAGAAAATCAACGTTTTATCCCTGGTTATTGGGCTCGCAACATATATGTGGATTCAGTACTCGAAATTTCTATTCCAAGCATATAAGCTCCCAGTTCAGAATCTTATTCCAATAATTAAAACTTACCAATTCTCAACATTATCGGTGGCTCTTCATTGCCTCGTTCCAATTGATTTGTCGCATTGAAAGAATTCATACTAGCCAAAAGATCCAATGCAAAATTTGCCATCGTCATGACAACTTGTCTTTTTTGCCACTCAGAAGAACTGGAATTTTCATCTGTATCCGTTTCAGAACTGGTGTTTTCTTCCAAATGGGTATTTACCTCTTGTCGCTTGGATCCAGTCATTCGTGGCACTTGGGCACTGGCCAATGACTTGGTATTGGGTCGTCTGTTTAGTAAAAACATTGATTGGAAGGGCATTAATTTGGTGCTATATGAGGTGTCGCCGACAGAAATATCAAAACCACAGGCTGCCATATAAGACCAATTGGCCACTTTGATTTTCTCCACCTTTATGGGGCTCTTGTAATATCCCAGCTACAAAAGTAAGTTTAATATAAAAATATAAAAAATTCTTAGGAGTTTTTCTGTCTTACCACTTCATCGAAATCACAAATAATTTCATTGAGTAGCTTCAGTTCAATGCTACCGGAACGGGCATAAATTATTGTGGCAAACATAACAGCGACATATTCGTGTTGTTCGTAGTAGGGTTCGCTGATCAGACGATTGGATAAGTATATTTTAACTGAAAAAAATTGAGTGTACGAATAGTTCTCACAAAAGTTTATGAAGGAAGAAATGTCAAATGAAAAGTTTTACAAATAAAATTACATATCTTAATAGATGAAGAATCCAGCCTCCGATGTCATTATTTTGACTATGTAATGTACCATTTTTATACCTCTATGTCATCGTATAAGAATACGATTTCGGAAATGTGTGCTACGTGTAGTAACTGTATTAAATGATGCCTAATTTGGTATTGGATATACGTATTGAGTTTTAAATGTTGATATTGAGGTCACTGCTGGTGGGTACGGTTGAAAAAGAGGAGCTTTTGGAAATACCTGTAGTACGAGTATACGAAGAGGACTTAATGGTTCTAATATAACGTGATAACTTCATCCATGCGCCCATTGTATCAATAGTAGCACAAACAACAACGGCAACAACCACAATTAAAAAAACATTTAAGTTTGGCTGGACCTAACTTTTATATCCTCCACCATTTTGAAGGAACTTCAAAAAGTTCAAAAATATTCGTAGGAAAATACCTCTCAAATAAAACCTCTTATATGGCGGCTATACAAATACGTTGTCCTTCATAAGTAATTTTTTGCCATGGGCTGTAACTTCAAAAAAGAAATTTGACACAATAACGGTGAATAATGCCGCTAAAATAATCAAAATGCCGAATATCGGGAGGTATCGTTATATGGGAGCTATAGGTTTTTTTTGTCATAGGCTGTTTTACCCATTACGAACTTTAAATACGAAATTTTAAATAATTCCGGTTAATAATGTCGTTAAAATCATCGTTATATGGAGGCTATACGAAGACGTTGATCCGCATACGCGATTATTCGTCATAGGCCGTATTGCCCATTACGAGCTTTAAATAAAATCATCAAATTAACGGATATTGAGAGGTAACGTTATATGGGGGCTATATGAAAAAGTGGTCCGACATTATATAACATTTAAGAGCTTAACCTCCCTACTGGCAAAATATACATATGCAAAATTTTAGCCCAATTTAATAATTCTCGCAGGGGGCTTGCTAAAGCGTAGTTAGTAATTTTCGGAATCATCCCATCATCCTGTCCTCATACACAACTGAATCGTTAGCCGGGAATACCTTTTGAACTGGCTTTCATCAAGTGGAGTGGCGGGTTATTCATTTACACAGGAGCCTGGTGGCGCAAAAGTAAATATGGATTATTTTTATTCGGTCTGTTAGTTTTTTGTTTACACCAGCTCGAGAATGTCTGTAAATATATTGTCATTTGAGCCCTTTTTATGGCATTTTCCATCACTTTGGCCAAAACATCCGGCGATAGGTCCTCACATTCTTGGCGGAGAGCTGAAAGAGTCTGAGGCTTGTTGACATAAACCCCCGACTTCAAAGAGCCCCACAAACAGAAGTCTGGAGTGGTCAAATCAGGCGATCTTGCTGTTCATCAAAGTTCCCGATTACCTACAAATCACCACAAATCCCCACAAAGTAATTCCTAACCTGAACATTGTCCAAAGTATCAATTGTATACATCCCGACATCATAGTTGTATTATGCAAAAATCGTTCACCCTCTGAATATCAACCCTAGTACCTTCGATTGTCTACGAATCATCGTCAACATCGACGTTCCGATCATCAATCACAACAACAAGATAGAACAACACATTCATTTCTTCAATTCCATACAAAAATTAGGAAGGAACTTAAAAAAAGGAAGGAAAGCTCGTAAAGCTCCGCGAACACCTCTTGATATTCGGTATTTTGATGATTTAAGCGATTTTATTCACCGAAATTGTTTAAAATTTAGTATTTAATGTTCGCGATGAGACCAACAATCTACTACCAAAACAACTTATTAATACATTATTTTTACAAGGGCAACAATTTTCTCTTAACTTCTTGGCTGAACTATTGAGTTGTCGAACAGAATCCGTTAATAATTTATAGAATGGTTACAAATTTCTGACCCATCCGACTTTTTTGCTCTTCTCTTAAACTTATATATATTTCATTGTTCGGATTTCCAGTACTTACCTACATGAGTTGGTAAAATATTTTGCAATAAAATTCTAATCGATTCTTCGGTAACGCGTGCATTTTCTTTTTTCTGTTCCAAGCGCCATTTGGAGCTAAAGAATAAAACCTGTTGTAATAAGAAAACGTTACAAAAAATTTAACTCACATGGATTCAATTTTCGATATATAAAGAATATGACGCGACATTAATTGATAAATCACTAGGACAGTCAAAATATTCCAGACATGACTTGCTTCTGCTCGAACTGTTTTATTGGTGACCAAACTGCTCTCGTAGACCAGATCAAACTCAATGAAAATGATCAAAAGATAATAGATGGTGATTGAAATCGCAGCAATCATTTGTATACAATACGGTATATGACTGAACGTAAAGATCATGGCCAAGCAGAGAACTACACATTCGGTTACGGCCTATAAAGAACATTTATAAAAAATATGTATTTTACAAACTTCAACTATTCTACCTTCTTACCCATGAATTAAAGCATAATGTACGATGGCCTCCTTGAAGAAATTCATATATCAAATCGTCATCGTTTTCCAGAGCCACAGGATCACAGAACATCTAAAACAAATTTACTTTTCTGTGACATTGAACTTATACATACATACGTGCGTACACAACTTACCGAATGGACAAGAGCAGTGGACATAATGCATAAAACCAATGACAGAAAAATTCCAATACGAACCACAGCCATCCTCTCAATATTTATGGAAATTCTGTTTAGGAGTATTATTAGCTTTTGGCGTGGTGGTGAGCATCTTGTCATCACTGGCCGCAACCAGACTAATATTAACACAATACTGGCATAAATTAATGTGAATCCATACAAAATAAGCAACGATGCGAAATTGTGAATGCTGGACAAACAAGAATTGAACAGGTTAAAGTGAATACGTTGATTTTGTCGACATACATATATTTACAAAATTTCTCAAGAGTTCTATTTAGAAAAGGGGAATAGTATATTTAAGATCAAACATAATGTAACTTAAAGCAACTTATATACTGCCTTCGAATACTATGACATTTACGAGTATTCAAAATTTAGAACATGTTCTCGGTGGTAAATATTACACTTCGTTGTGCTTGTGTCTCATTATTTACTGTCCTTCCTGATATCCGACCTACAAATTCACCTTTGATAGGGCTTATTTATGATTTATGCCATGCATATGGCCATTTAGTTTTTCTATCAGGTAATAATGGCTGACGTCATGACAAAAATGCATTAGAAAATTTGCAGAATATGTTGTTCAGAAATCGCGAAAAAATTACGGAAATCTGGGGAGAAAAGTAACAGATATAATATACACGGCCTCAAAAATCTATTCCAGAGCATTTCCGTGTACATAGAATCCATAAAAATCAGAAAAAACCTATAAAATTGTCAGCTCTGCTATAATATAACATAATGTCTCATCTTATTATATTATATCAGCGCTGCTCAAGAAAAAATATCTCTTACCAGTCAAATTTCTCTTTGCATATTTAAACAATACAGCGATATGTCATTATTTATACAAATATTTGTTATCCATTTGCTTTATAAATTATTTTGGCAAACATTCATATTTAAAACCAATTAAATGGGATCTAAAAATATAAAGAAAAACAAAATTTTAATTTTCTCTTCCTCTATTACTCTCCCTCTTTCTCTCTCTCTTTCTATGTCCCTCCTTCTTTCTCTCCCTTTTCCACTCTCTCTCTCTCTCTCTCTCTCTCTGCATCTTTCCCCAGGTGACTCCAGGTCAAGAGTTCATTGATTCCATGTCAATAGGCTCTTTCTCTCCTTCCCTGGGGGCATTGGCCCCATGCCAAGAGGTAGGTCATTGCCTCATTACAGGAAGTCAAGAGGTCATTGACCACACATCAAGAAGTCATAGGCCCCATGTCAACAGGTCATTAACCCTACTCTTAACATGTAAATTCTTATACAAATTCAATCAAAAAGCAGGGCTAGACAAAGAGTATCCCATTGGATATCTGTTTGTACACCAACACAATTGTAAAAAATAAATTGTCTTAAATTTTCTGTCAAAATGGTTTTGGAGAATATTTAGTTTTGTTCGAGCAGTCGACGGAGACGGTGCTGTCGGATATTTTTATGAAAACACCGTAAGCAATATTAGGGCACATATATATATCTTACTACATATTTGAAACAAATATTTCCGAAATTGTAAATATTACTATTGTTCAAGATTTATCTTTTTGATTGATTTTTGTTTGACAGAATTTGTATTCACAAGTTAAGAGTATGGTTAATGACCTGTTGACATTAGACCTCTTGACATGTGGTGAATACCTTCATCACAAATTCTGTCAAACAGAAATCAATCAAAAAGATAAATCTTTACAGGTGTAATATTTACAATTTCGGAAATATTTGTTTCAAATACCAAACCAAAACCATTTTGACAGAAAATTTAAGACAATTTATTTTTTACAATTGTGTTGGTGTACATATCTGTTTTGTACTGGGATACTCTTTGTCTAGCCCTGCTTTAAAGGCATCCGTTTTGAAAATTGTAGATCTTTTAAAAGAATATTTTTCAATGTTGGGAGGGAGAGAGAGAGAGGATGAAAGATAGAGCGAAAGGAGGAGGTGATAAAGGTACAGGGAGAGAGAGGAAGTGGTTTAGGGAGAGGGAGAAAGAGGGAGGGAGAGAGGGGGGAGGACGGAGGGAGAGAGAGGAAGAGAGAGAGAAAAAAGGTCAATGACCCTCAGCTCAAGAGGTCATTGGGAGAGATAGTAAGATAGAGAGAGAGATAGGAAGAGATAGGTAGGAAGAGAGAGATAGGAAGAGAGAGATAGGAAGAGGAAGAGAGAGTGGAAGAGGTAGAGAGGAAGAGAGAGAGGACGAGGTAGAGAGGCAGGGAGGAAGAGAGAGAGAGAGGAAGAGGGAGAGAGATATTAAGAGAGAGACATGAAGAGAAAGAGAGGAAGAGAGAGAGAGAGGGAAAGAGAGAGACGAAGAAAGAGAGAGAGGAAAAGAGGGAGAGAGAAAGAGAGAGAGGAAAAGAGGGAGAGAGGAAGAGAGAGAGAGAGATAGGAAAAGAGAGAGAGAGAGGAAGAGAGAGAGAAAAAAGGTCAATGACCCTCAGCTCAAGAGGTCATTGGGAGAGATAGTAAGATAGAGAGAGAGAGATAGGAAGAGATAGGTAGGAAGAGAGAGATATGAAGAGAGAGATATGAAGAGAGAGATAGGAAGAGGAAGAGAGAGTGGAAGAGGTAGAGAGGAAGAGAGAGAGGACGAGGTAGAGAGGGAGGGAGGAAGAGAGAGAGGAAGAGGGAGAGAGATATTAAGAGAGAGACATGAAGAGAAAGAGAGGAAGAGAGAGACGAAGAAAGAGAGAGAGGAAGAGAGAGAGAGGAAAAGAGAGAGAGAGAGGAAGAGAGATAGAAAAGGTCAATGACCCCAGGTCAAGAGGTCATTGACCCCAGGTCAAGAAAGGAAGAGAGAGAGGAAGAGAGAGAGGAAGAGAGAGAGAGGAAGAGAGAGAGAGGAAGAGAGAGAGAGGAGGAGAGAGAGAGAGAGAGGAGGAGAGAGAGAGAGAGGAGGAGAGAGAGATATTAAGAGAGAGACATGAAGAGAAAGAGAGGAAGAGAGAGAGAGGGAAAGAGAGAGAGGGAAAGAGAGAGACGAAGAAAGAGAGAGAGGAGGAGAGAGAGAGAGAGAGAGAGGAGGAGAGAGAGAGAGGAGGAGAGAGAGAGAGAGAGAGGAGGAGAGAGAGAGAGGAGGAGAGAGAGAAGAATAGAGGGAGAGGGGAGAGAGAGAAAAGGTCAATGACCTCAGGTCAAGAGGTCATTGACCTTTCTCTCTCTCTCTCTCTAACTCTCTTCCTTTCTCTCACTCTCTTCCTTTCTCTCTCTCTTCCTTTCTCTCTCTCTTCCTTTCTCTCACTCTCTTCCTTTCTCTCTCTCTCTCCCTCTTTCTCTATCTCTTCCTCTATCTCTCCCTCTCTCTCTCCCTATTTCTCTATCTCTTCCTCTCTCTCCCTCTCTCTCTTCCTCTCTCTCTTCCTCTCTCTCTTCCTCTCTTCCTCTCTCTCTCCTTCTCTCTCTCTCTCTTGACCTGGGGTCAATGACCTCTTGACCTGGGGTCATTGACCTTTTCTCTTTTCTACATCACTCACAAAGGGTCTGTCATAATTTGCGAAACAAGTGTTTCTTTACAACTTGTAATATCTAAATATTTCTCTCAACCAGAAACCTGAGATGAATGTGGAATTTATGATTTTGCATAAAATTGGATATAAATGTTTTATATTCTTGTAATTTCGCCCATACCAATATTTGTACCCTACAACACTATATGTTGGGGGTATTATAAGTTTGGTTGGGTCAAAAATTGTGAAACACCTCGAAGTATTGGTTTCCCACATAGGAAAGTATATATGGATGTTAATATACATATATTTCAGATTGTAGTATTTGTGACATTTTTTTCTTTTTTTCATATTTTTTATCGCTAGCGGTTTTTTCAAATTGACTTATTATATTGAAGTGTATGTTTTGTAATATTTTTTCATCTTACAACACAGGTTGGGGTTATTACATACACATTGCAATTATAGTCCGATCCTCTCGAAAATTTGCATAAGGGTAGGGTGAGAACTATTGTTTTCAAACATGTCCATTGAATATATTGGACCAACAACCAACAATGTTCTAGCCGTTATAAAGGTCGAAAAATGAAACCAAAGGACACGATATCTCGCTTGAAGTTAGAGTTTAGGACAGGCGGTAGAATGAAATACTACTTTTGTATGAAAAAAGAAATACCAACAGTCCCATTCTACCGAAACGCTGAAAATAACATACAGGCGAAATCCAAATGCAGATTTCGTTGACGAATATAGCCAAATATCGTAGACAAGCAAATCATGTAGATGAGCCTAAATTGAGAGATATAGAGGAGCCTCTTGCTTTTGGAGATGATCGGTTCAAATGATTTAGGGGTTCAAATGAACAAAAAACAGAAAAAAATGAAACTAATCGTCATGGATGACATAATTTAAAAAGCTGAATCTTGCAAAATGAATTTGGACTTAAGGGGGCTTCTAACATGTTGTAGGATATCACATGGTCGGCCCCGCACTACTATAGCCTTTGCTTACTTGTTTTATATGTATTAGATGAAGTATGAAAATTGAGTACTTCTGGTACCTCACGCACATCTTAAACTTTTCCTAAAAAAATATCACATATTTCATATAAAGTGAAGGACGTAACCAATATAGTCCAAACCTGGTACGTCGCAATATTTACATCTTATTTATTTAGGTCCGATACGAAATGGACAATATTGACCCATTCCCTCGCAACCTACTCCATAGGAGACAAAAATTTGAATAATCATAGCAGAAGTCATATTGGCTGGAGGTATACACCTGACAACAAAATCGACTGATAATTTTTAGTTTTTGTTTTATTGTTTTTTTTTTTTTGACAATTTTGTGGACGGTATTCAATTTGGCGGGCCGAACTTACTGTTTTTCTACTTATTTTTAATAATACTTACATTTTATTTACACCCTCCATAATCATGACGCATATCAATATCAAAAATGACATTAGAATGGATATCTTGAAAAATTCATCGATTTCCGAGTTGTACGACGACTCCCAATTCCAATCACTAAACCACAAACAAAATGTGCTGATATTTCGATTTGCAGTAAAATCTTCCATTTCGTAGGCATCTAAGCGGGGCATTCGTGTAAAAAGTTGTTCTTTTATTCTAGAAATAGTCGTAACTCAAGATCTACTTTAAACTTCAACGGTCTTCGCAACTTACCCCAATTTGTAAATTGGCAATTTGTTAATGTCTTTGGCAATTTGCAAGTTAGCTTGAGATTTTATTGAGTTGTAATCCAACAGCATTTGATCTTCGGCATCTTTGCCATTAGTATATTGTAGCAGGGGATTAAAGTTGGTTTTATTTTTTTGTGTAGGTTTTGTTTTCAACCTGTTCTTGTAGGTTTTCCATTCTTTCGACTGGGTCATAAATTCCTAAAATATAAGAAAAGAAATAATTGTAAAAAAATATGGAAGAAATTCAAATGTCGTGGATCAATACAAATGTTCATCTAATATGCCTGATCCAACCAACGGCGAAATGCGTCGCATACTGCTTGGATGCGTGGGACTTCACAAGATTTTAATTTTCAATTAGTTTGAAACGTATGATTTTAGCTCGAGATTTGTCAAGCATTTGACTTGTCCTTGAGGGGATATAAATTCAATAAAAATAATTGGCGCATAACACTTTGGTATTTGTGAGGTTTCTACCCCCAGTAAAATCATTTATAATTTTCATTTCAAAATATCGGAACTGGTATACTCGCTTTTAAATTAAATTATTTGCCTCCATAGTATGGAGGGTACATTAAGTTCGTCATTCTGTTTGTAACTCATCGAAATAATCATTTTAGACCCAACAAAATATATATATTCTCGATCAGCATCAAATTCTATGTCAATTTAATGATGTCCGTTCATCTGTCTGTACCACTCTAGTTTCCGGATTTTGAAATTGAGGTAGGTTGATGAAATGTTACTCAAATGTGTGTTTTGTCCGCAGGACTGTTGGTAAGAAAAAATGACTATATAGGTCGACGTTTAGGTATAGCTTCCATATAACGGTACGGATTTTTTATACCCTGCACAACATAGTGGTAAGGGAATTATGCCTCTGTGCATTTGTTTGCAACGTGGAGAAGGACGCGAGATAGAGCCAGAGTTACTTTTGACGATCTTCATAGAATCACTTTCTGAGTCGATTTATGCATGTCACTCCGCCCGTCCTTCTGTACATGTATTTTTGTGAATAAAATGCATATCAGTCCAAATTAACTGAATTTTGGAACATTCGACCGATTTCAGACTGGAGGCAAATTTGGAGAAAATCGGTTCAGATATTGTGATAGCTCCCATATATAGGTTTCATCCGATTTGGTGGTTAACTCCGCCACATTCGTAATATGCACCCAACAAGAATGATATTTGTTATCAGATATCAGATATAGTCCAGAAATACCTCTGCAAAATGTATCAAGTTCGATTCAGTTTTCAGGTTTATTGTGCACCAAATGGCCTATATCAGTCCAAATGGACTAAATTTTGGAACATACAACCGTTTTCAATGTGGAAGCAAGTACTTCAAATTTGGTGAGAATCGGTTCAGAGTTAGCTATAGCTCCCATATATACGTTTTATCCGATTTGGTGTTAAAGTCCCTCATAAGCGTAATATGCAGTCTACAGCAATATTTGTTCTGTCAGTTGTAATCACGCTGTCTTTTGAACGAATTGAGATAGAAGGCTAAAATTTTGTATACATGCATAGTTCACTAGTAGGCAGTTCGGAAAACGGCCATGTCGGTCCATGTTTTCGAATAGCCCCCCTATATAACGGTAGCTCCCGGTATTCGGTATTTTGATGATTCCAGCAACTTTAATCAATGGAACTGTAACAGGTTTCGTATTTAAAGTTCGTAATGAGTACTACAGCCAACGACAAATAAATTCGTATGTAGGTTCACGTTTTCGTATCCCCCATATAACGGTACATCCCGATATTCGGTATTTTGATGATTTTTGCTACATCATTCACCGGAATTGTTTCAAATTTGGTATTTGAAATTCGAAATGGATACTACAGCCTAAGATAGAAGATTGTCTGTACAGGTCCACGTCTTCGTATAGCCCCCATATAACGGTACATCCTGATATGCGGTACATTGTTGATTTTAGCGACATTATTCACCAGAATTGTTTCAAATTTCGTATTTGAAGTTCGTAATGGGTACTACAGCCTATGACAAACAATTTGGTTAGCAGGTTCACGTCTTTGTATAGTTTCCATATAACGGTTTTCGTTTAAGTGATAGTTTTCGGAATTTTTTTGAAAACTTTCAAGTTGCTTCCAAATGGTGGAGGGTATTAAAATTTCGGCCGGCCCAACTTAGTTTCTTTTTTACTTGTTTCATATTCAACCGAATTTGACCATTTGGTGAAACTCGTTCCGGTACATATATTAAATATTTTTATATATATACAGCAATGTTATTTGATACTAAAGGTAAGCCTTCGTCAAATTTGTTGAAAATCGATTCAGAGTTTAATAAAGTTCCCAAATTGTGACTATTCTAAAGCCATGATACGCATTCAAATAAGGTGTATGGTTGGTATGATATACTTCACATACAATTTTTGTTACAAAAACTCTACTAAATATGTATAGTGATGTAGGGTATCATATAGTCGGCCTCGCCCGACATTTGACCTTTCCTTTTATTTATTTATTATTATTATTTATTTTTTTTTATTTATTTATTTTTTTTTTTTTTTTTGAAAATATACGAATTAATTCCAAATGGTGCGGGTATATCTGTTTACTTGTTTAAACTTTTTATCTACATTTTTTTTTATCAAATACTTACACTTGGACCAATAATCAGATACGTTTTAATATGCTCCCTCATTAAAAACGGATCCCTTGTGGCTTTCTCTGTGCCAGCTTCATACTCATAGTACGCCTCTATATATTTCAATGAATTTTTGCTTATATGAACTCTTCCCGGCACGCCGGTCTGTTCCAAATGCGAAGCTATGTCAACGTCTTTAGACCAAATGTCGTATTGCCATTTGGCGGCACCAATAATACCCGAAAAAATATTTCCAGAATGTACGCCAATGCGCATATCAATATCAAGATTGCGCAAATTTCTACAACTCAAAAGAAAAATTATTTATTTTCTTTTTAGAAAATACAGCCCCTCTTACCTTATTTCCGATATTTGTTCGATTATGGATCGGCCAAATTCTATGCAGCAGTGAGCATGAAATGGATGAGCTTGAGGTATACCAGTAACACCATAATAACAGTCACCCAAAAATTTGATACGTATTACATTAAACTCGTGACATGCTTGATCGAACCTCTGGAATAGATCGTGCAATGTTTCCACCAAAGTCTTGATATCTAGGGTCGTCGTGAGATGAGTATAGTTCACTAAATCCGCAAAAATAATGCTCACATTGTAATGGGATTCTATAAAGAGTTTTCTGAAGAAACGAAAAATTTATTCTGGATGGGTCAATATTCAGTTACCTAGTTAAAATTTGGGTGTCATTAATGCAAAAAAAGAGTTTACCGGTCATCAAACTACAATGAAGGTTCGCAACAGTGCCTGAGCGCATGGTGTGCCCATTTTAATGCAATTCACTGTTTGGAAATTAGCACTTTTGAAAATATGTCTATAGCCAGTTCTTATATAAAGTTCAAATTATCGGGCTTCCTTTATTACATATTTCCTTTAAAATATTTTTTAAATACCCTATACCATATGGAGGGTATATTAAGTTTGTCATTCCGTTTGTAACACCTCGAAATATGCATTTAGGTCCCACAAAGTGTATATATTATTGATCAGCATAAAAATCTATGTCGATTTAACGTTGACCGGCCGTCCGCCTAGTTTCCGAATGAATTGAAGTAATTTGATAAATTTTCACTTAAATGTGTGTTCGGTCTGCAGGACTTTTGGTATTGAAAATGGGGTAAATAGGTCCACGTTCCATATATTCCCCCATATAAAAGTACCTCCCTATATTATTTATTTTGCTGATGTGATAACGCTGAATGTTAATAATCAATTGTTTTAAATTTCGTATTTGAAGTTCATAATGGGTACTACAGACTATGACAGAGAATTGTAAATGCAGGTCCAGGTCTTCGCATTGCCCCTAAATATCGGTTCCTCCCTATATTCGGTATTTTGATGATTTCAGCTACACTATTCGTATTTCGTATTTGAACTTTGCAGAATGTGACAGAAAATTGCCTTTGCAGGACCACGACTTAGTATAGACCCCAATATAACGGTAACTCTTTATATTCGATTTCAACATAATTTTTAACTGATTATACGTTTTATTTATTGAATTATTATTGTTATTTATTTACTTATTATTCTTATTTATTTATTTATTTTTTTTTTTTGAAAATTCCGATTCGTTCCAAATGGTGGAGGGTTCGGCCCGGCCGAACATACAGCTTTTTAACTTTTTTCCAAAAAAAATACAATAAAATGATAACTTTTTGAAAATATAAATGATAATCACAACGGTCGTAAACCCCATTATGAACTGCAAATACGGAATAAATCCGAAAAATGTCGAATAAATCTTATATATAATCTTTTCATGAGGTACCGTAAAATGGTAAAATGGTTACAGAAAAACGTGCACACTAGATGTTCCGCCACTAGATGTTGAACCCGTTGCCAATACCTTATGCCAAATGTAGAACAATTCAGTGAAAAAATATGTCAAAAAAATTATCAAAAATCCGAATATCGGAAGATACCGTTATATGGGGGCTGCGCTAAAACGTGGACCTATGTATACACTTTTTCGCCACCGGAGCTAGAACCCATTACGAACTCCAAATACAAATTTTTAGACAATAGAAAATTTTGGTAAAATCATTAAAGTATCGCAATATCATCAATATATCTAATTTTCTACAAAGAGTCAAAATTTCGAATAATTATATCTCTCATAAAACTTGAAACGAGCACACGATTTTCTTCAAAAATTTCACACATCCCAATATTTTTCTTTATACAAGAGCTGTTGGGAAGATTGTAGATATCGGTCTACTCCTTTTGGTACTTCCTCCACAAAGGGATCAATTTTTTTGAATAGCCAAACGCTCATAAAAGCAGAATAAGCATCCGATTCCATTTAAATTTCACACAACTAAATGTTTTTACTAGCGAAAGATCTGGTGTGAAGATGGGATAATCGGTGCATTCCTTCTGATACCTACCCCACAAAGTGATCTAAATATTATATAACAAAACACTTATAAACTTCAACATAAGCTTCTGATTCTTTCTTCAATTCACACATTCCAATATTTCTACTAAAGATGTAATAAAGATAGATACATTTTCCAAAAGTTATCACATAATTCATAAAATGTGAAATCTGTCAAGTTATAATATTACATCAGACATAGGTGAGATCTGAAATTGACAAACACTCCTGGGAACCACCCCCCAAAACAGATCAAAATTTTGAATAATTATAACGAAGGGCTGAGAGCATAAATCTGTCGACAAGCCCGAGTGATATTTTTTTTTTAAATTTTAACCGCCCTATAAGTCTTTCGTTAGGGTCGTATTGGTTATTATATAGGGAGTCATCATTAAATGGGTCCATTTTATACAAAAGCGTGGTTCTGTAAGAATAATTTGTTTGTCATAGGAGACGGAATCTATCGGAATTCCAAAAATTAACTTTGAAACAATTCCGTTGAAAAATGTAGCTCAAATCTTAAAAATACCCGCAGGTGTCTTCCGTGGCTAGACGAAATTGTGCACACATATAGACAATTTTCTGTTAAATGAGATGGAACCCATTGTGAACACCGAACACTAACTTTGGAATAATCCGTTCGGTAGGTATCGATATATGGAGGCCATACCAGATTTCAGATACATCGGAAATACATCTGCCAAATTTTATCGATATGGTTCATATAACTGCCATATATATCATTATCCGATTTGACGCTTATTGTGACCAAATATGCTAATATTAGCCCAAATTGGATGGATTTGTGCACATCCGACTGAATTTATCCCGGAAGCAAAAAATTACATTTGTTGAAACTCAATTCCCATATATCCATTGTTCCGATATATTTTCTTAATAAAAGCTTTGTCGAATATTTGGTACTACGTTGTATATGACTAATATATTAGTTTCCATTGATTCCAAATTATATCTGCTCTAGAGCTAAGGTACGAATTCAAAAAAGGTTAATAATTGGTACGATCCACTTCTCATTGATTCCCAATACAAACGTGTATTTGTAACGAGCAGCTCTACTAAATACGTATTGTAGTATACGGTATCATAAAGTCTGCCCGCCCGACTTTTAATACCTCCAACACTTGGAAAGAAATTCAAATTTTTCAAAAAAAGAATCCGAAAAATACTTCTTAAATGAAAACCGATATATGAGGGCTATACGAAGATGTGATTATACCATACACCACAAGGTGGTCAGGGTATTATGTCTTTGTGCATTTGTTTGTAACAGCAAAAGGAAACGAGATAGACCCATAGTTGCTTTTGATGATCTGCATAGAATCACATTCTGAGTCGATTTATGCATGTCCGTCTGTCCGTCCGTCCGTATGTCCATGTATTTTTGTAAACAGAGTACAGTTCGCATTTTTAATACCCGATCCGGATGAAATTTTACCAAAATCATTTGTTTTGCCCAAGGACGAACCCTATTGAAATTGGAGATAATCGGTAAAAATTTAGATATAGCTCCCATATATATCTTCGTCCGATTTGCCTTTTACAGTGCACCAAACGTGTAATATCAGCCCGAATAGTATGGAATTTTGCGCATATAACCAAATTAGGCCTGAAAATAAGTATGCCAAATTTGATCGAAATCGGTTCAGATATATCTATAGCTCCAATATATATAGTTCATCCGATTTGTTATTTTAGTCCTCCGCAGCTGTAATATGCACTCTGTAACAACAATATTTGGGGAAATATATCAAATACAGCTCAGAAATACCTTTGCTAAATTTTATCGAGATCGGTTCGGATTTGGATATATCTCCCATATATAACTTCGTCCGATTTACCTTTTATTGTGCACCAAACATCCAATATTTGCCCAAATGGGATGGAATTTGGCACTTACGAAAGAATGGAGTCTAGAAGCTAGTATGTCAATTTGGTGAAGATCGGTTCAGATATAGCTCATATATATATTGTTCATCCGATTTGTTATATTTGTTACCCACAGCCGTAATATGCACTCCGTAACAACGATATTCAGGGAAATATACGAAGTACAGCTCAGAAATATCTTTTCCAAATTTTATCAAGATCGGTTCAGATTTGGATATAGCTCTCATATATATATCAAATGGGCAATACAAGTCCGAATTTAAAAGATACAAATGCTTCGGCATATTTAGTCTTTTGAACTTTAAATTATAATTATAATCATAGCGTATATGATTGAATTCTCCCATAAAAACTTTTGTTATGTGGAGCTCTACTTAATTAGCAAAGTGGTGTAGGATATCATAAAGTCGTCCCCGCCCGACTTTAAGACCTTCTTTACTGTTTTTTTTTTTTTGTCATAGGTTTATCAAGAGTATTTCAATAAGTTACAAACGGAATATCAAAATTAATACACCCTCCATAGATTGGTGGAGGGTATAATAATACTATTCTGTAAGCAATTACTGGGACTAAAATATTCTTAACAAGTAAAAAAGCAGTAAGTTCAGCCGGGCCGAACTTTGAATACCCTCCACCATTTGGAACGAATTAGAAAATTTTCAAAAAAAATAAAATCCATTAAAAATTATTTTAAAATCTTTAAAATATCTAATATAGGAAAGTGCCGATATGGGGGGATATACGATATTGTGGACCTATAAAGACAAATCTATGTCTGCGTGTAAAGTACTCACAAGGAACTCCTTGTGTGGATTTTCAGATAATTCCATTGGAAAAAGTGGCTAAAATCATCAAAATACCGAATATAGGGGAGTACCGTTATAAGGGGGATAAATGATATTGTGGACCTATACAGAAAATTCCGTTTCAGAACTCCGTGTGTGGATTTTCAGACAATACGATTGGTAAATGTGGCTAAAATCATCAAAATACCGAATATCGCGGGGTATCGTTATATGGGAGCTATACATTATCGTTAACCTATATAGAGAATTCTAGAAAATTCCGTTTCAGAACTCCGTGTGTGGATTCTCAGACAATACGATTGGTAAATGTGGCTAAAATCATCAAAATACCGAATATCGCGGGGTATCGTTATATGGGAGCTATACATTATCGTTAACCTATATAGAGAATTCTCTGTCGGGGGATAAAGTGCTCACAAAGAACCCCTTGTGACCATTCCGTTGAAAAATATGGCTAAAAACATCAAAATATCGAATATCGGGGGTACCGTTATATGAGGGCTATACGATATCGTGGACCTATATAGATAATTCTCTGCCGAGGTATAAAGTACCCACAAGGAACTCCTTGTGTGGATTTTTAGACAATTCCGATGAAAAATGTGGGTAATATCATAAAAATACCGAATACAGTTATATGGGGGATATACGATATCGTGGACCTATAAAGACAATTATTTTTGAGGGGGTAAAATGCCCACAAGGGACTCCTTTTGTGGAATTTCAGACAATTCCATTGAAAAATGTGGATAAAATCATTAAAATACCAAATATCGGGGGTACCGTTATATGGGCGCTATACGATATGGTGGACCTATATGGATAATTCTCTGCCGAGGTATAAAGTACCCACAAAGAACTCCTTGTGTGGATTTTCAGACAATTCCGATGAAAAATGTGGGTAAAATCATCAAAATACCGAATATCGGGGGGTACCGTTATATGGGGGATATACGATATCGTGGACCTGTATAGACAATTCTCTCTCAGGGGGTGAACTACTCACAAGGAACTACTTGTGTGGATTTTAAGACAATTCCATTGAAAAATGTGGCTAACATCATCAAAATACCGAATATCGGGGGGTACAGTTATATGGGGGATATACGATATCGTGGACCTATATAGACAATTCTTTTTGAGGGGGTAAAATGTACACAAGGGACTCCTTTTGTGGAATTTCAGACAATTCCATTGAAAAATGTGGCTAAAATCATCAAAATACCGAATACCGTGGGGGTACAGTTATATGGGGGCTATACGATATTGTGGACCTATATAGATAATTCCCTGCCGAGGTATAAAGTACCCACAAGGAACTACTTGTGTGGATTTTCAGACAATTCCATTGAAAAATGTGGCTAAGATCATCAAAATACCGAATATCGGGTGTACCGTTATATGGTGGCTATACGATATCGTGGACCGATATAGCCTATCTTCGAACTTGACCTGCCTGCAGACAAAAGAGATATCTGTGCAAAATTTTAGCTTCCTATCTTAATTCGTTTAGACTGTAGCGTGATTACAATAGGCGGACAGACGGACGGACAGGGCTAAATCGTCTTAGAATTTTACGCTGATCAAGAATATATATACTTTGTTGGATCTAAAATGATTATTTCGATGAGTTACAAACGGAATGACGAACTTAATATACCCTCCATACTTTTTTGGTGTAGGGTATAAAAACCCATAATCTGGTAATGAAATGTTCTGCTGGGTAATAATGAAAATAAGTTTTTTGCTTTGTATATTTCTAAGGAAGCACCCATTATTCTCCACCTACTGTTATGAATTATTAGGCTCCCAAATTTTTAGCTGGGTATTCCTCAAATCATGGCCTTAGCAAAAATATTACCTTGCAAATTCACTTGCATATTGCGGCCTTTTCATTTGTGGCAGTTTATAGCGTTCAATTCTGGTTCTAATTTCTTGACCAATTTTCTCAGCTATTTGAGCCGGTATAATACTTATAAGTAGACTGTTCTAAAATAAATCAATAAAAAACACCTTCAATTCATAATGTTATCCGCATAAGCAAAAATGCTTACCTCTTGATCTTTAGCAAATTTCAATAAATAATTTTCTTTGACATTAAGATGGCGAGTTAGGAGTACTCTTCTGGTAGCGCAATCTCGTCGAATTCGAAAACAGACGCCTACCACATTAAGGCCAACAATAAATATTATGTCCGGTATCAGATATCGTAGATCCACATTTATGCGTTCATCCTCAATTGATTTATTAAATGCTGTAAAGGTGAAATATGTACTGTACAGCATACTAACGACAGTGGTCAAAGGCATTAGCGACAACAGATTCGTTAAGGGCATAAACAGGTAGAGGCAGGAAATGGTGTAAGCACAATAACAGGAACGCAATATATCGTTGTTCAGCATGAATGCCATAATGCCAATGATAAAATCTGAAAAATAAATGATAATTTTAATTATTAATAGCCTATTCACAGAACTTTTGTTTAAGGTAGACACGCAATTGCTACAAAGACAATCACGTTTTTATTTCAGTTCATTTACAACTTTCCTCTGGGAGTAAAAACTTATTTTAGGGGACATTTACCTGTAAAGCTCATAACTAAACCCGTTGACCACGCTACAATATGCTCCACACACCAATGTTGCATTACCATATTCTTCTTTAGGTATATTGAGGAACATAGGCATGTCAGTATTGCACCCAATATATAAATGTAGCCATCAATGGATGTAGAATCTGGATTCTGAAAATTTTTAAATTTGTTGCTACAACAAAATAACAAAGGTATTGGCATATACGCCTTTCCTCCAACATACCTGATCTCCAATCATGACCGCCACAGTATGGACCATTGCAATGAAGATATGGATTCTCATGAACGATTTTATATAATTGCGATAAATTGTTTTCAAATAGACTTGATATGTTTCTTCCAAGCCCAGTTGTATGCATTTTGACTGTAAATCTGACTGCACTCAGGTGCATATATTCAAAATATGTTCGTACACTTATTTACCTTTAATTCTGCCCACTCGAATAAGAAGCCATGATGCTCTTTGGAACTCCGTATAGTTGCCTCATCTCTTAACCTCTCCATAGATGCCTTCAACTCATCCGCAAGACCAATTATCATTTTTTTTAGATCAGAAGCTTCAAGAAAAATATGTTCTTTCCGAAAATATAGTTAAATTCAAAATGTTTCTTTATATATCAAAAAAAATGTTTTTCAAACATGTTTGACAATGATGACAATTTTATCGAATGCTCTTTTATGAAATTTAAAAAATTATATTCCTTCACCAAATGCAAGGCAACCCAACGGAATGAGCTCGAATTCTGAAATTCCAATCCATTTGTAACATCCCTAACTATTCGTCGTAGACCCTATAAAGTATATACAGGGTGAGATAAAAAAACTGCAACAAAGTCAAACGCCATAATTTTTACATTCTTATTTTAAATTTTATTGAATGAAAGCAAAAAATGTCGGAAATAGCATCAAATTTTAGAATAATTTAAGATTTGTTCGAATTGATCACCTTTGGCACGAATTATGATCTTTAAACGGCCAATGAAACCGCGCTGCCCGAATGTTGCTCTGCGGTATTTTGGCCCATTTCCGGCGAAGCGCTTGCTTGAGGTGATCGACACTTTGCTATTTTTTAGTATCAACATTCCTTTCCAAAATACTCCAGACACAATAGAACGGACGGAATGGTATCGGGCTATTTTGGTGGCCATTGTGCGCTGGAAATGAAGCGAGGAACCTCATTTTGTAGTGCGATGGTGCTAAGTCCTGTTAGAATGTCCAAGGTCTGCGGCCAAAATGTTTGCGTGTCCAAGACTTTAGTGCAGCCTCCAAAATATTTTCGCGATAATTTTCGGCATTTATTCTGATGTCACGGTCGATTAATACGAGCGGAGAGCGACCATCGGCTGTTATGGCGGCCCACACCATCACCATGGCCGGCGCTTGAGTTCTGTTGGCCAACCGAAGATGCACATTTTCAGCTGACCTCTTACCTCTATAAACTGCTGGACAACGAATGTTTTCTCATCAGAGAAAACCAAATTCGGCAGTTCACCGCTTTCGGCCAAGCGAAACAACTCATTAACTCGTTCGATTCTATTTTCTTTCGGTTGCGATGTAAGCTCTTGCACTTTTTGGAATTTCAATGGCTTTACTCCGAGCTCATTTTTTAATATTTGCCGAATAAAATATTGCGATATGTTCAGCTCACGAGCCATTATTTGGCCACTGCGACGCGGGTTTCGATCTAGTCACTTCTTTACTTTTAGAACCATGTCTGCTGATGTTGCTGTTTCCGTCCACTTCCTTGACGTCGGGCTACGCTATCAGTATCGCGATAAAGAGCGATGGTACGAGACACAAAAGATTTATTCACATTTAAATGCTGGAGTGTTCTAACGATTGCCACTTGTCACACAATCACACTATCCCGCTTGAATTCCATCACGAATAACTTTTTTCTGGAAAATTCTCACTAAAATGCTTTTGTTCGCTTGTAAACTATATAATCAGCGGTCATTGGACTAATTTTAACAGCTGTCGGATGAGGGGCTTAGAAATGACAGCAGTCTGAAGTTGGTTGCAGTTTTTTTTTTTATCTCACCCTGTATATGTTTTGACAGAATAAGGGCACCAAAAGAAAAAATTTTATTCTTCCCACCTTCTGTAATTATGCCATGATTCTACCGTGGGGTAGAGCTAAATACTTACAAAATTTGTTGTGAGAATTAAGGTTGAAAATATGTTTGGTATCTGGAGGTGGTTTTGGAAATATGTACTAAATGTGCCAAATGGTACTAAATTTGTAACAGAACAGGTGAACGGATGAAGCTGGAATTTTGAAATTTTATATTAGAGTCCCTGGTTGTAGTAGGTTGGTGATGAAAAGGTGGTTTGGAAAACACATACTAAAGGAGCACAAAAAGTACTAAATGGTACTCCATTTTGGTATTAGGTGAAGCGATAGGACCTGAATCTTCAAATTTGATATTGATGTCTATGAAATTGAGATGTGGATGTGGTTTTATGTGGAATGTGTGCTATAATTAAATTAAATTATTATACCCTACACCACATAGTGGTAAGGGTATTATATTTTTGTGCATTTGTTTGTAACATGGATAAGGAAACGATATAGACTCATAGTTACTTCTGACGATCTTTATAGAATCACTTTCTGAGTCGATTTATAAAGGTAACTCCGTCTGTCCGTTCGTCCGTGTATTTTTGTGAACAAATTGCAGGTCGCATTTATTATCCGATTGAGATGAATTTTTCCAAACAATATTTATTTGGCCCAAGTACGAACCCTATTGAAATTGATGAGAATCGGTTCAAAGCTCTCATATATATCTTCAACCGATTTCGGGTTAATCGTGCACCAAATGGCCAATATCAGTCCATATGGTACATACAATTTGGAGATAATCGGTTCAGAAATAGGTATAGCTCCCATATATGTGTATGTTTCATCTGATTTGGTGTTTAAGTCCTTCACATTAGTAATACGCACTACTCAGAAATGATATTTGGTACCAGATATCAGATACAACCTCTGCCAAATGGTATCAAGATCGGTTCAGATTTGAATATAGGTCCCATATATATCTTCAACCGATTTCGGGTTAATAGTGTACCAAATGGCCAATATCAGTCCAAATGACCTGACACTTCCTTCAGTCTAGAAGCAAGTAAGATTTGAATATAGCTCCCATATAAATCATTAATCCGATTTCCGGGTTATTGTGCAAATAATGGCTAATAAAAGCCCCAATGGACATTTACCCACGAAATTGTTTCAAATTTGTTATTTAAGAAGATTTGGTAGATGGCAATCCTTGAAGTATAAAATTGTCTGTAGAGGTTCCTGTTTTGGTATGGCCCACATATAACTTCCTCACCCAATTTATTATTATACCCTCCACCTTGGAAAGGAGGACATATTAACTTTGTCATTCCGTTTGTAACATCCTTAAATATTCGTCTTAGACCCCATAAAGTATATATATTCATAATCAGCATAAAATTCTAAGTCGATTTAACGTTGTCCGTCTGTCTGTCTGTCCGACTGTCTGTTGAAATCACGATACAGCCCACATTATTTGACGTAGAGCGCCAAAATTTATCAGAGCTATTTGCATTGTGTCTAGGATGGTTGGTATTGAAAATGAGATATATCGGTCCACGTTCTGGTATAGTCCCCACATAACGGTACCTACCGATATTCGGTATTTTGATGATTTATGCCACATTTTTTCACGGATTTGTCTGAAAATTGGTATTTGTAGGTCATAACGGGTCCCTGAGCGTGTTGCAATATAGGTCCACGTTGTGGTATAGCCCCAATATAACGTTACCTCCCGATGTTCGGTTTTTTGATGGTTTTTGCCACATTTTTTCACTGATTTGTCTAAAAATTGGTATTTGTGGGTCATAATGGGTCCTAGTTCGTGTAGCGAAACATTGTAATTATAGGTCCACGTTTTGGTATAGCCCCCATATAACGGTACCTCCCGATATTCGGTAATTTGATGATTTTTGCCACATTTTTTCACGGATTTGTCAGAAAATTGGTATTTGTTGGTCATAATGGGTTCCAGCTTCGGTGGCGAAACATTGCATGCATGGGTCCATGATTTGATATAGCTCCCATATAACGGTACCTCCCGATATTCGGTATTTTGATGGTTTTTGCCACATTTTTTCACTGATTTGTCTAAAAAATAGTATTTGTGGGTCATAATGGGTCCTAGTTCGTGTGGCGAAACATTTTAATTATAGGTCCACGTTTTGGTGTAGCCCCCATATAACGGTACCTCCCGATATTCGGCATTTTAATGGTTTTTGCCACATTTCTTCTAATGTTTCTTTTACCCTAAGGTGGAGGGTATTAAAAGTTTGGCCCGGCCGAACTTAATGTTTTTTACTTGTTTTTTCAAAAGTTTAACAGTATTATCCAAATGGTCTTACTGGTATTTGTAGTATAAAGTGGAACACGTTTGAAATCAGATACTTTAATTTTTTTATCCAAAGTAAGAGGGTATTAAAAATTCGACCCAGCCGAACTTAATTTTTTTTTTACTTGTTTGCGGTGGATTCCACTCAGAACTACTACTAAGTGAAACCATAGTTTTTATGTCAGTTGTATACAGAGTATTTATTGGGAAATTTCTATTGGTCTTACATTTAATAACATTATTCAACAACACTTAATTAATAATTTATAAAATAAAAAAACATTTAATTTTTCTAAAATCATAGTTCGAATTCGAACCTTAAGGTAAACCATGAACATTTATACACCCCTGGGAAGGTAGGAACCCCTTCGACTGGCTAAGAGTCGGGTCAATGTATTATATCAAGTCTCAGATTGCTTTGCGAACCACCACCGCTCTCCCTCGTTATGATGGTGATGTATTTTCATTTGGTTCATTTGTGCCCAGCTCTGGTATGAAATTTAAATTTTCATCGATTCCCACAAAATATGTTGGTATTTCGCCGCGACCCTTGACATAAGTCATGCCGCGGAAATTACATTTTATATTAAAGGTACGTAAAATGTCGGCTGTCTCTTCGGTGACTTGGATGCGACCCTGCATGCCCGTGGAATCCATGCGTGATGCCATATTAACCGCATTGCCCCAGATATCATAATGTGGTTTGGATGAACCGACAACACCGGCCATAATGGCACCATTGCTAATGCCTAAAAAAAGATAATTTTCAAATTCATAATTTTCCCATCCACACGTATGGTTTTTGTCCATCTTACCAATTCTCAGCATTCCATTATCGCCGCTACCATCCTCACATTGTAAATTTTCAACATTAAAGGAGTGCATTGTTCTCATTAGCTGCAGGGCAAATTGTGCCATGACATGTACCACATTCGATTGATTCGGTGAACTGATTTTGCGATTCTTTTGTGTAGTGCTATTTAAAGCGTTGTTGTGGCCCTCATATTGATTAGAAGCTGCCGACGTTGAGGGTGCCATATCTAGCTGGTTGCGTGAGTGCCTTACTGGCGCTCGCCCATTACTATCGTAATGGCTACGTCGCCCATTCATAAGCAGTGACGAATTACGAAAAGTTCCCTGAGTGTTGACATTTTCCGAACGTGCCAAATCTAAACCACATGCTGCCATATATGTCCAACCGGCTACTTTGATCTTCTCCACTTTGAACATACCCTCCGACTCAAAGAGTTTAAGCTTTAATGGAGTTGTAATATATTATCGAATAAAAGAGATACTTGATATTTATTTCACTTACCACTTCATCGAAATCACAAATAATTTCATTCAAAACCCTCAAGCCAACATTATCGATGTCGTAGTTTTTGATTGTCGCAAACATTACAGCCACGTTGTCGTATTCTTCGTAGTAAAGTTCGTTTTTCATTTGTTTCGATATGTAAATATCCGCTAAAATACGAAAATTAAAAAAAAAATCTAAATAAATTTAAGCAAATTAAAAACAGTAGAGCCCTATATGAACCCAGTGAAATGATAATTTATAAAATTTATGATTTCGTGAAATTAAACTGAATCTGGAGCCCACTGTGTCATTATTGATTTGTAAGATTAATTTGTAAGAGAAAACAAGTTAAAAAGGAGCTTAGTTCGGCCAGGACGAACTTTCAATACCCTCCACCATTTAAAAAAAATCCTGCTATATGTTACAAGTTAAAAAGCAATAAGTTCGGCCGGGCCGAACTTTCAATACCCTTCACCATTTGGAACAAATTTATCAATTCTCAAAAACAATAAAATCCGTCAAAAATTCTGTTAAAATCTTAAAAATGCCGAATGTAGCTATAATGTAGATAAAATCAAAATACCGAATATCGGGAGGTACCGTTATATGGGGGCTATACGAAGACGTGGACCTGCACAGACAATTTTCTGTCGTAGGCTGTAGTATCCATTACGAACTTCAAATACCAAATTTGAAACTATTCCGGTGAATAATGTCGCTAAAATCATCAAAATACGGAATTTCGGGAGGTACAATTATATGGGGGCTATACCAAAACGTGGACCTACATGGCACATTTTCAATACCAAAAGTCCTGCAGACATTACATTCATTTGAGTAAAATTTTATCAATCTACTTCAAATCGTTCGGAAGCTAGAGTGATTTCCATAGACGGACAGACGGACCGACATCGCTAAATCGACATAGAATTTTGATCAAGAATATATATACTTTGTGGGGTCTAAATGTATATTTCGAGGTGTTACAAACGGAATGACAAACTTAATATACCCTCCATCCTATGGTGGAGGGTATAAAAAAAGAATCCATTAAAATAGGCAGCTATAAAATTTCGAATATCTGGAGATACAATTATATGGAGCTATACGAAAACTTGGACTTCTACAGCCAGAGAAGACGCCCTTATCACCAGCTCCAAACACCAAGTTTCAGGTAATTTTATTCTGAGACGTAGCTAAAATCCTTAAAGTACCGAATATTGGGAGATATGGGGTCTATATGTAGATGTGGACCTCTATAGCCAATTATGTGTCAGAGAAAGCGGTCCCTAACACGATCTCAAAATACCTATATTGAGGTAATTATGTTGAAAAATGTAACTAAAATCATCCTGTATAAATAAACCAGTAAGGAAAATTTAAAAGTCGGGCGGGGCCGACTATATGATACACACTGTCAAAAGAAATGTACCCATCTAAACTTTGAATTTCATTTTATTATGTCGTGATATAATGATACGGTTTGGAAATTTCTTTGCTTTGCACTTACCCACATGTGATGGCAGAATATTTCGTATCAATAACGAAATGGAAGCGTTCGTCACCTTGGCATCATTTTGCTTTCTTTGCAACTGACGTTTCCAACTGGAAGATATAAATTTTCCAAACATAATTAATAATCCTTCCCAGGTTTTATCACATCTCAAAATTATTCACTTACTTGTAATCCACTTTCGATATAAACTCCGTTTGTCGATCCATCAAGTGGAATATGGACAATGTTATGATTATTACCATGACATGCGAGAATTCAGCTTGTAGACCGACATTTGTTGCTGGACTCGATTCGTATATGGGTGAATAACTAACAAATGTGATAATGATGTAAATTCCCGAAATCAGAACACCCACAGTAAATTTCAGAATGAAGGGAATACGAGAAAAGAGGAAAACCATACAAATTGTCAGTTCTAAGCTTTCGGTGATTGCCTGGAAGAGAAAGGAATAATAGGTTTTTATAGGACCTGGCGAAAAAGTTCATTTTTTTTTTTCGCATGCGATTTTTTTTTCAATTTGACTTATAATATTGTAATATTTTGTAATATTTTTTCACCTTACAACACAAGTTGGGGTTATTATATACAGATTGCAATTATCGTCCGATCCTCACGAAAATTTTGCACAAGGGTAGGGTCAAGCTCAGAAGGGCTAGGGCTATATTTTCAATGATGTCCGCAATATATTTATGGGTTGAAATGGACCAACAACGAAAAATGTTCCTACTTTTGCAGCCGTTACAAAGGTCAAAAATAGAAACCAAAGGACACGAAATCTCGTATGAAGTTAAGGTTTAGGACAGCGGGTAGAATGGACCACTACTTTTGTGTAAAAAAAAATACCAGCATTACTTACAGGCAATATCCGAAATACACAAAAGGCGAATTTCTGGCTTTTTATGGTGATTTCGTTGACGAATATTTCCAAATACCGGAGACAAGCAAATCATATAAATGAGTCCAAATTTTAGAGATACAAACAAAATATTTAGCGGTTCCAATGAACCAAAAACAGAAAAAAATTCCTGATCACACAATTGAAGCCAATCGACACGCATGAGAAGAGAGTTAATATTGCGACATGAGAGTGCGTAAATATTGGGTAAATGTCCAGGGTCGAAATGCTAAGGGTAATATTTCGGTAGTGCTCCGTGACATCAATTCAAAAGCGAAATCTTCCAAAAATGGTTTTGGACATAATGGGGCTTCTAACATATTGTAGTGTTGTAGGGTATCACATGGTCGGCCCCGCACGTTTATAGCCTTTGCATACTTGTTTTTGTTTTTTTTTTTTTTTTAATTTTTGTGTTTATTACTGGCTAAACACTTACCCAAGGATTGAAGCCCACATCGCAAGCATGATCATTGTTAAAGAAATTGGTTGAATTTTTCGAATCACCATCGGATAGTACGGGCCAGTTATTACAATCTAGCTAAATTGAAAAAGAATAATTAATTGAAATTCCAAATTTACGAGGACAATATTTTACCAATTGTATAAATGTTGCCGAACAGTGTATAACAATAATTAGCAGATAAATCGTTACACGCGCTGTTATACTACTCTGTATCCTCTTCGAAGAGTCGAACAAAAACAAGACAAATTTATTCTCCGGTTCCGATTGTATTGTCTCTGCCCAAAACATGATCCACAGCTTCTTGAACCATGTCAAGAATATAACAATTATAATTAGAATTATGTACAGAGCATTGGTGGTCCAAAAGTTGGCCGATTGCCTGTGAATAAATCAAGTGTTAATTCTTTGTTCATTTTCATAACTTAGCCAGAACTTACACTTTATTGATCGATTGTATAGCCATGATGCCGAAAAAGATTATAACACCCATGATCACGCTGTACTTCAGCATGTCATCTGGTTCCTGCAGAAATTGCATTTCCCAACGCCAATCCTTGAAGAACAAGCCAACCGAAGTAATATTTCGTCGAAAATTCTGTTCTTCTTGTTCGTCCTGAGTTAAACGTTTTGAGCGATCAAAGCAAAATTTTGAAACTCTGGAATTTAAAGTTTAAAATTGAATTAACAAAAACAAATGCAATAGTCTATGAAATAAAATTTAGTTATTAATTATTTTTTTCGGGAAATATACAGATATGATTGGGAGCTAAATCCACTCATCTACATTAACATCAGAATTCAAACTCTCTCTCTCTCTCTCTCTCTCTCTCTCTGCATCAATAATATGATTTCTAGCAAATAATTAGTTTTGTAGCCAATTTTTGGCAGTCGTAACTACTTACAAATCAATCTACTAACCCATTATTATACCCTCAGTCATGTGGCTACATAGGGTATATATTATTTGATAGGCCAAACGTGCCTCATCGATATAACAGTCTTAGACCCTAGGTCTTTTTGAAGCGAACCCGTTTCAGGACATTTAGAGTCGATCTAAAGGTGTCCGTCTATGGCTAGCTGGCGGTCTCGTGTCATAATCCCCACGGACATAAAAGGCGAAAAACTTAGATTTTCTCCTCGGGGTATGTCCGGAACCGGCTATAGCTAACTTAAGTTTTCTAAATTTTAATATTTTTGTAAGTAGCCGGCCGGGAATTCAGATTTTCTACTCTGGGCATGTCCGGCACCGGCTAACGCGAACCTAAGTTTACTAAATTTTAAAATTTTTGTATCGAACTCGGAGATGGGCAATATGGGTTCATTCCTTCTGGTGCCTTTTCAACAAAAGTTAAAAATTTTCAACGAAAATATTTTACTTCAAAAGAGGAAAGAATCATTCGATTTTGCGCAAACTTGGCCAATCCCAATACTTTGCTTGGCGCTAGGACAATAGTGGCCCTCTCCATCAAGTACCTCCCCCCACAAAGGGTCAAAATTTCGAATAATTATAACTGTTGTGAAGTCGGGTTGCCTTCAAATTTAACACATTCCAAAGATAGGGTAGAAGGAGTGGACCTCCTTCTGGCATCCCACACACAACGGGTCGAAATTTTGAATAATTATATCTCCCGATTTGTTTCGTTTACGTTCCCGAAGGAAAAAAAACAAGTAAAAAGCAGCTAAATAAGACCAAGCCGAAATTTTAATACCCTCCACCTTCAAAATTATTATAAAATTTGTAACAATTCCGGTGAATAATGTCGATAATGTCATCAAAATACCGGATAAAGGGAGGTACCGTTATATGTGGGCTGTACCAAAACGTGGACCTGCATAGACAATTTTCTGGCATAGGTTGTAGTAATCACGAGCTTCACACTCTAAATACGAAATTTGAAACAATTCCTGTAAAAAATTTGACTAAAATCATCAAAATACCGAATATCGGGAGGTTCCGTAATATGGGGGATATACGATATCGTGGACCTATATAGACAATTCTCTTCCAGCGGGTAAAGTACTCAGTAGGAAGTCATTTTGTGGATTTTTAGACAATTCTAAAAAAATGTGGCTACAATCATCAAAATACCGAATATCGGGTGGTTCCGTTATATGGGGGAAATACGATATCGTGGATCTATATAGTCAATTCTATTCCAGTCGGTAAAGTACCCACAAAGAACTCCTTGTGTAGATTTTCAGACAATTCAATTGGAAAACCGTTATATGTGGTCTATACCAAAACGTACTACAAATTGACCTGTTAAGACAATTTTCTGGCATAGGTTGTAGTACTCATTACGAGCTTCAAACTCTAAATCCGAAATTTGAAACAATTCCTGTAAAATATTTCGGTAAAATCAACAAAATACCGAATATCGGGAGGTTCCGTTATTATTTTCCAGGGGGTAGATATTCGGAAGGAACTCCTTGTGTAGATTTTGAGACAATTCCATTGGCAAATGTATCTAAAATCATGAAAATACCGAATATTGCGCGGTACCGTCATATGGGCGACATACGATATCGTGGACCTATATAGACAATTCTCTTCCAATGAACAAACTTCTCAGAAGAAACTCCTTGTGAGGATTTTCAGACAATTCCATTGAAAAATTTAGCTACAATCCTTAAAATATCGAATATCGGGCGGTACCGTTATATGGGGGACATACGATATCGTGGATCGATATAGCCCATCTTCGAACTTGACCTGCAGACAAAAGACTGATCAGTACAAAATTTTAGCTTCCTATATTAATTCAAACAGACAGATGGACGGACATGGCTAATATTTTTAAATTTTACGCTGATCAAGAATATACGCAATTTGTTAGGTCTAACATAATTATTTCGATGAGTTACAAACGGAATGACGAACTTAATTACCCTCCATACTATGTATTTGGAGTTAAGATTTCAATATGCAGCGTTCAAATCGGACAACTCTGAACATCCTCTCTAGAATACTATATTTTAGAACTTACTGAATTCTTCCAATTGGCATTTTATCCAACTCTCTGCTCATTTCCAATTTAGCCTGGGTACGAATTTGATTAAATTGCTGGATATTATTTTGCATAAAGTCTGTTGTGGTATCGGAACGTATACGTTCTATTTGTCGTTTGACACCGGCCCAGGGACGCCGATGTTCATTATATGAGGCATACTGCATAAAATGAATCAATTATTTTCTGAAATTAAAAATACTCTGTAGCATCTCTACTTACTTTGGGTGGCTTTATTAGAAATGTCCTAATATCGTGTTGTTTTAAGATTGGATCGGTACGTCCCTGCGCTGTGCCCTCTTCATACATATATTCCCCATCAAGTTCTCGCAGAGTTTGTTCACTGACATGCACTCTGCCAGCCATGCCGGTTTGTTCCAAACGATTGGCAATGTCAACGTCCTTCGACCATATATCATATTGCAGTTTGCAGGCACCCAACACACCGGACAGTATGCGTCCCGTGTGAACCCCAATACGCATGTCAATATTCAATTTACGTCTTGTTCTAAATTCGGAAGAAATTTAAATTCATTAAACATTTCATTAAGCATCTCTTTGTGCATTCCATTAATACCTTACTTCACGTATATCCTTAATCATACGCAATCCCAGGTCCACACAACACTTGGCATGATACTCATTGGGAATGGACACACCTGCCACACAATAATAACAGTCACCCAAAAATTTAATACGCAAGACATTGTATTCCTGGAAGAGAAAATGATGATAAATTTGAGATTTTGTTTCGGGGAAAATTCATATAAAATAAGAATACCTCGGAAGCTGTATCGAACCTCACAAAGAGATCGTGCAAAGTTTCCACAAGAGTTTTGACATCCAATGTCGTCGTAAGATGGGTATAATTTACAACATCTGCATAGAGTATGCTGACATTATCATGGGGCTCAATAAACAATTTTCTGCAAAAAAAAGGAAATAAGTAAAATTAATTACAGGCGGTGCTGATAAAGAAGCAAAACTACAGCCGGCACAATACAAACCAATCTGTATTCATAAACCAGTAAGGAATGGTCAAAAGACGGGTGGGACGACCACATAACATCCTACACTCCTATGCGTATTTTGTAGAGCTACCGTAACATAAAATATTTTTTTTGGGAATTTATGTGAAGCACATTATACCAACTATACAGGGTGAGATGAGAAAACTGCAACCAACTTCAGACTGCTGTCATTTCTAAGCCACTCGTCCGACAGCTATTGAAATTATTCCAGTGACAACTTATTATATTGTTTACAAACATACATAAGCATTTTGGTGAGAATTTTCCAGAAAAAAAGTTATTCGTGATGGAATTTAAGCGTGATAGTGTGATTTCTTTATATTTGGCTGGAAAACAACAAGTGGCTATCGTTAGAGCACTCCAGCATTTAAATGTGAATAAATCTTTTGTGTCTCGTACCATCACTCTTTTCCGTGATACTGGTAGCGTAGCCCGACGTCAACGAAGTGAACGGAAGAAAACAGCAACATCAGCAGAAATGGTTCGATAAGTAATGAAGCGACTGGATCGAAACCCGGGTCGCAGTGGCCGAAAACTGGCTCGTGAGCTGAACATATCGCAAGATTTCAATCGGCAAATATTGAAAAATGAGCTCTGGGTAAAGCCATTGAGATTCCAAAAAGTGCAAGAACTTACACTGCTACAGAAAGAAAATAGAATCAAAAGAGCTAAAAAGTTGCTTCGCTTGGACGAAAGTAGCGAACTGCCGAATTTTGTTTTCTCCGAATTGAAAACATTTGTTGTCCAGCAGTTTGTAAACAAACAAATTGATAAAGAGGTCAGCTGAAAATATGCACCTTCGGTTGGCCACCAGAACTCAAGTGCCGGCCATGGTGATGGTGTGGGCCGCCATAACAGCCGATGGTCGCTCTCTGCTCGTATTAATCGACCGTGGTATCAGAATAAATGCCGAATATTATCGCGAAAATATTCTGGAGGGTGTATTAAAACCTTGGGCACGCTAACATTTTGGCCGCAGGCCTTGGACATTCCAAGAGGATTCAGCATCATCGCACGCAGCACACGCCAACCAAGAATGGTTACAAAATGAGGTTCCTCGCTTCATTGTCAGCGCACAATGGCCACCAAAATCTCCGAAAACCAATCCGTTGGACAATTGTGTCTGCAGTATTTTGGAAAGCAAGGTTGGCACTAAAAAATACCAAAGTGTCGATCACCTCAATCAAGCGCTTCGCCGGGAATGGGCCAAAATACCGCAAAGCAACATTCGGGCAGCGTGTGACGGTTTCATTGGCCGTTTGAAGGCCATAATTCGGCATTTCACCACTTTCGGACAAGCAAAGCAACTCTTTAGATCTTTTGAGTATATTTTCTTTCTGTTGCGGTGTAAGTGTTTGCACTTTTTGCAATTTCAATGGCTTTACCCCGAGCTCATTTTTCATTATTTGCCAAATGGAATATTGCGATAGGTTCAGCGGGTTTCGATCAAGTCGCTTCTTTACTTTTCGAAGCATTTCTGCTGATGTTGCTGTTTTCTTCCGTCCACTACCTTGACGTCGGGCTACGCTACCGGTATCACGGTCCAATTTCGGCTGATATTACAGTATGTTTATATATAAATGGGTTAACCGACTGGTTTTGGATTACAATTGTCATATCTATTACTTATACTTCAAATAAATCCTCTCAAAGTCGGTTAACCCTACAAAAAGTTCTAACGTAAACATGGCATAACATATATTACATATAAGATGTATATTGACTATATATAAAAATCTGAACCAATCTCAATAAGTTTTTGTAGAGGTTTTTTCGAAATGTGTCTGATGTCCGGTATCAAATATCATTGTTGTGGAGTGTATATTACGCATGTGAGGGACTTTAGCATCAAATCTGATGAAACATATATATTTGAGAGCTATAGCTAAATCTGAACCGATTTTCACCAAAATTTGAAGTACTTGCTTCTGGGCTGAATTCAGTCGGAAGTGCCAAAATTCAGTCCATTTGGACTGATATTAGCCATTTGGTGCAAAAAAACCTTGAATCGGATGTAGATAGGTATGGAAGCTATATTCAAATCTGAACCGATGTTGATGTTTTTGTTGTTGTTATTTTTGAGCTGATATCTGGTACCATTGATCATTGTTCTGGAGTAATGGGAGACATTGCTATATCTGAACCGGTTTCCACCAAATTCGAAGTACTTATTTCTAGAATGAATTCAGTCGGAATTACCCAAATTCAGTCAATTAGGGTCGATATTAGCCATATGGTGCACAATATACCTGATATCAGATAAAGATATATGTGGGACCTATATCTAAATCTGATCCAATCTCCATAAAATTTAACCAAATACCAAATATTGTTCTTGTGGAGTGCATATTACGCATGGGACCTATAGTTATATCTGAACCGATTTTCACCAAGTTTGATGTACTTGCTTCTAGACTGAATCCGGTAGGATGTGCCAAAATTAAACCCGAAATCGGTTGAAGACCTATAAGAGCTATATCTAAATATCAAATAAATAACGATTATCACCAATTTAAATAAGATTCGGCCTTGAGTCATACAAATATTGTTTAGAAGATTTCATCTCAATGGGATAATAAATGCGACCTGCATTTTGTTCACAAAAATACGTCGACAGACGGACTGACATGCATAAATCGACTCAGAATCGATAAGGCCATCATCTTGTGTTTGTTGTTTTATCGGTGGTGATTGATATGAAATATGGCGTAGCGCGTCCATTCCACTTTGCTTCTAAAAATTATTGTTTATTTTGTCATAAACAAGCTGTTATTGTTTAGCTATTCACTTACTCGGCTTCCGGTTGACGCCAACGTCTGATAGGTTCCGGTTCTTCTCTAAAAGAAATATAAATTCCAAACAAGATAAGTAATTTTACAAAACCCATCATTTTCGCGTGTGCTTACATCAATACTTGCGTGTGTGGTGATGAGCGTCTCTTGGCTCTTTTATATTCCAATCTGGCTTTGACATCATCTTCAATTCTGCTAACAATGTGTGACGGGATTATACTTAGCAACAGACTGCGCTGTAATAAGAAAATAAAATTAACTTCTGATTAACATAACTGATGAAAATATTGTTTTCAGCCTTACTTCCTCCTCCCTGGCATGGCGCAACAACAAATTCTCCTCGACATACTGGCGTCGATCCAGAAATGTTGTACGTATGGCTATTTCCTTCATCATGCGAAAATATATGCCCAACATGTTAATCGACATCAGGAATATACCCTCCGTTATCAGTTTATTCACATCAACCCGATATGTGCCATCCGTGTGTTTGCGATATGTCACAAAGGCGTAATCGATCAGATAGGAAACGGTCACCGCCATTCCCAGCATAAACGCATGTACATTGTCGGGCAGGGGCATGAATATATAGACGGCATACAATATATAACTGCCATAGGCCGGACGCAATATATCCAAATTGATGACAGCATGATAGACAGATATGCCAATATCGGTAAGTGCCAATATACAAACTGCCAGCCAGGACGTGACATACATTATCCATGTATATCGTTTGACGAGCTCTGTGCGAAAGTTAAGCGCCAGAATTCCCCACACCAACAAAGCACAGGTGAGATAGGCAAAGATATCGGTTGACACATTGCTGAGATTCTAAAACGAATAATGTGTAACAGCCGAGGCATATCAAGCGGACGGCCAATCTTCAGCTCCGATTGGCGTGGTTCAACGCACAATACTCACCTCAATCGTTGACAAGAGAATGATGGAATGTACACCGACAACCAACAGTTCTATGATGACAAATAGCGATAGGTAGCTGACACGCAATCGCTGCATATACGATTGATAGAATTGTTCCAATTCCAGGTTGCGACATTGATTCTGAAAAAAATGATTTTTGATTTTATATATTTTAATCTTATGTGAAATAACATCTGAAAAGTTAGTGGAGTTTGTCGGACATTGTATCAAGGTAATTATTTTTTAAAACTCATTTAATGTATTTCTAATATTATGAAAATGTTAAATATTTCTAAAATTTTGCCCTATTAGATCACACGACATGTCGTGGCGACTCAAACACACCGGCAATGCGTGCACGATTTTAAATAAGCCTTGAAATCCTACATCATACATAGTACGGAGGGTATATTAAGTTCGTCATTCCGTTTGAAACTCATCGAAAGAATAATTATAGACTGAACTAAGTATAAACAGGGTGAGAAAAAAAAGGCAACAAAGTCAAACGCCATAATTTTTATTTATTTTTTTTTTTTAATTTTATTGAATGAAGCGAAAAATGTAGAAAAGAACATCAAATTTTAAAATAAGCTTAGATTTGTTCGATTTGGTCACCTTTAGCACGAATTATAGCCTTCAAACGGCCATGGAACCGTCACATGCAGCCCGAATGTTGCTCTGTGGCATTTTAGCCCATTCCCGGCGAAGCGCTTGCTTGAGGTGACCGACACCATGGTATTTTTAGTGCCAAGCTTGCTTTCGAAAATACTCCAGACACAATAGTCCAACGGATTGGTATCCGAAGATTTTGGTGGCCATTGTGCGCTGGAAATGAAGCGAGGAACCTCATTTTGTAATCATTCTTGGGTGGCGCGTGCTGAGTGCGATGATGCTGAGTCCTGTTGGAATGTCCAAGGTCTGCGGCCAAAATGTTTGCGTGCCCAAGGCTTTAATGCACCGTCCAGAATATTTCGCGATAATATTCGTAAATTTCTCACCAAATTCTAAGTCGATTTAGCGATGTCCGTCTATCTGTCTGTCCGTATGTCTGTTGTAATCACGCTATCTTTCGAACGAATTGAGACAGAAGGCTAAAATTTTGCACACATGTTTATTTTTCCAGTACGCAGGTTAAGTTCGTAAATGGCCCATGTAGGTCCACGTTTTCATATGACGGTACCTCCCGATATTCCGTATTTTGATGATTTTAGCGACATTATTCACCGGAATTGTTTCAAATTTAGCATTTGAAGTTCGAAATGGATAGTACATCCTAAGACAGAAAATTGTCTGTGCAGGTTCACGTCTTCGTATAGCCCCCATATAACGGTACCTCCAAATATTCGGTATTTTGATGATTTTAGCGTCATTATTCGCCGGAATTATTTCAAATTACGTATTTAGAGTTCGTAAAGGGAACTACAGTCTGTGACAGAAAATTGTCTATGCTGGTCCAGGTCTTCGTTTAGGCCCCATATATCAGTACCTCTCTATATTCGATATTTTGACGAGTTTGGGTACAATACCCACCGAAATTGTTTGGGATATCGTATTTGAAGTTGACAGAAAATTGTCTATGCTGGTCCAGGTATATATAACGGTATAATATCCGATATAACGGTACCTCCCTATATACGATATTTTGATGATTTTTCCTATATTATTCACCGTTTATTTCAAGTTTCGAATTTGAACATGGTAATGGCTTATGACAAACAATGCCTATGTATGTTGGGGTCCACGTCGTATAGACCCCAATATAACGGCTATATTCGGTATTTTTAAAATTTTAACAGAATTTTTTAAGGATTTTATTTTTTGAAAAATTTCAAATTCGTTCCAAATGGTGGAGGTTATTTAAAGTTTGGCCCGGCCGAACTTCCTGCTTTTTAACTTGTTTATCATAGTATAATTCAATGACACCCAAAGAAATTAATATTCGTGCTTTTTCATGTTTCTGCCACAATTTGACATTTCGGAGTTTATGTCATATAGACGTACATCCCACATCTGCGTTTCCAACCAATATTCTCTTGGGAGTTTCAAATTCAATAGAATACCAAATTTTCTTTTCTGACCGCACATTGTTTGGGAAAGTGGACTTGGGGGTTCACTAATGTGGTAACTATACTCAAATAAATGCCTATGTGGACAATTATCTGTAGGATGATTCTCTACGCTAGAGTAAAAAATTATTTGATTTTCTACGCCCTTAGAAACAAAGATGCTAAATAAAGGCTTAACAAATGAAAAAAAAGTAAAGAAAGTCTTAAAGTCGGGCGAGGCCGACGAGGCCGTAGAGCTCCACATTAAAATTAAAAGTATGGGAGAATTCAATCATACACGCTATGATTATAATTATAATTTAAAGTTCAAAGGACTAAATATGCCGAAGCATTTGTGTCTTTTAAATTCGGACTTGTATTGCCCATTTGGTGCACTATTAATTTGAAATCGGATAAAGATATATATGGAAGCTATATCCAAATCTGAACCGATCTCGATAAAATTTGGCAAAGATATTTCTGAGCTGTATTTGATATATTTCCCTGAATATCGTAGTTAGGGAGTGCATTTTACGGTTGTGGATAATAAATATAACAAATCGGATGAAAAAATATATAGGAGCTATGACTATATCTGAACCGATCTCCACCAAATTTGACATACTAGCTTCTAGGATCAATCCGGTCGTGAGTGTCAAATTCCATCCCATTTGTACATGTATTTAAATGAAAGGTACCGAAATAAGTCGGACGACCATAATTTCGACGTTAACCAATTTCAACATTGACAATTGAACAAATTCTTTTTTTGTGTGTTGAAAATAGAAAGAAATAATAGAAAAAATGTGAATGTTTGTAATTGGAAAATAAAAAAAATGCGCGAATATTCAAATTTTATTAAATTTACAAAGTCATTAGTGATAGATTTAAAGATATGGACCTGGCGTATTTGAGTAACCTGTAGTATTTGAGTCTTATTCAACAAACACTCTGCGATGGCGATTTCACTGAACGGCTTTGTTTTATTTTTCTAACGATCCCCGTTTTTTCCACCTTCCCCACCCATTACTTTTCAAGTTCTCCATTGTTTTATCAAACCAAAACAAAAATAATCACAGGTTAGTTTCGTATTTCTTTGTTTGGTTATTCCTTATTTTGCTAAATGCTCTCGTCAACAAATTTAAAATCCCACCAAATCCAAAATATTTTTTTTATTTCAAAAATTGGCATTGACTTCACAGTTATAAAAGTAGGGCGACCGACTATATGATACCCTACACCACTATGCTTATTTAGTAAAGGTCACGTAACAAAAAGGTTTATATTGGGGATTTATGTGAAGTAGATGATACCAACTATGAACCAAATAACATTACTGCGTAGTGCATGTTATGACTTCAATAAGGATTACATTAAACAATTTTTATTGGAGCAATAGATATACCCGACCGAGTTTCACTAAATGGTAAAATTCGGTTGAATATGAAAAAATCAATTCAATTTGGGCTGATCTTACATATATCGGATCGGATGAAGATGTATATCGAAGCTATATAAAAATCTGAACAGATCTCTATAAAATTTGCTAGAGGTATTTTCGAGCACTATCTGATGCCCGGTATCAAATGCCATTGTTGTGGAGGGCATATTACACATGTGAGGGACTTAAACCCCAAATAGGGTGAAACATATACATGGGAGCTAGAGCTATATCTGAACCGATTTTCTCGAAATTTGGTCGGATGTGCCGAAATTCAGGTTATTTGGAGAGATATTAGCCGTTTGGTGCACAATAAACATGATGAAGCATATATATAGGATCTATATCCTAAACTGATCCGATCACGATAAAATTTAACAGAGATAATTTTGATCTCCATAAGTTAACTGGTACCAAATATCGTTCTTGTGGAGGGTCTATTACGCATGTGAGGGACCTATATATATATATATATATATATATATATATATATATATATATATATATATATATATATATATATATATATATAGGCATATAGGATAGCTCCTATATATATATATATATATATATATATATATATAGGAGCTATAGTTATATCTGAACCGATATGGGGTCTATGTCTAAATTTGAACAGATCTCAATAACATTTGGCAAATGCATTTCTTAGCTCTATGAAATATAATTTTTGTGGAGTGCATATTACGAGTGTGATGGTGGACACACGGACGAATCGACTCAGGAATTGATTTTATGAAGATCCTCAAAAGTAACTATGGGTCTATCTCGCGCCCTTCTCCATGTTACACATAACTGTACAAAGACATAATACCCTTACCACTATGTGGTGTAGGGTATAAAAATCTGTTGGAAACTGTGGCTAAAATCATGAAAACACTGAATATTGGATACAATATAAGGGACTGTACGAAAATATGGATCTATTAAAATATATATTTTTTTTTTCGGTTTTCAAAACGATTTTTTATACCCTACAACACTATGTGTTGGGGGTATTATAAGTTTGATTGGGCCAGAATTTATGTAACACCTCGAAATATTGGTTTCCCATATAGGAAAGTATATATGGATCTTCCTAGCTCGCCGAGCTGAGTCGATCTAGCTATGTATGTCCGTCCGTCCGTCTGTCCATGTTAATTTGTAATCACGCTACAGGTCGCAATTATGGCCCGATCCTTACGAAATTTTGCACGAAGGTGGGGTTAAGGTCAGAATAGAAGCCTATTTCTTTTGGAGATGATCGCCAAATGTTTAGGGGTTGAAATGGACCAAATACTGAAAAAATTTCGGAATTTCGCATGTAGCTAGAGTTTAGGGCGGGGAAGAAGCCTACCAATTTTGGTGGCCATCGGATAATATTTAGCGGGTAAAATAGACCATATCTTTTGTGTTGAAAAAATTCAAAATTTTTCATTAAACCGCGAATATTTTAAATCCCGGGGAAATCACAAAGCCATGACAAGGTTACTTCTGATCTTTACATTGATGTTAACATCCAACAAATCGGATATATAGCAAAATATGTTCGATATATATGTCTATCAAAGAAGATAGGCTTGAAAATCTCTTATATGTCGAGAACGGCTGAACTGATTTCGACAGTTTTCATTAATTCAAAATGGCCTCTTGGCAGGAAAGAAAAAACGTCTAAAAAAATCGCATAAAAATATTTCTCTAAAGATGAAAATATTGATTTTGTAAAATTTTCTCATATTTTTTCAATTTTGTCATATTTTTGGCATATTTTCATTTTGAATTAAAAATTTGGTAATATTTCTACAGCTAACAAAGCTAAGTAGTTAGGATATCAGGATATCACAGATCTCATTTATGGCCCGATCCTTACGAAATTTTGCATGGAGATAAGATGAGGGTCAGAATAGAAGCTTACTCTTTTTGGAGATGATCGCCATATATTTAGGGGTTGAAATGGACCAAAAAACTGCAAAATTGTCAGCAGGTCGTAATTATCGCCCGATCCTCACGCACATTTGAATGAGGGTTACCGGACATTACAAAAGCCAAGAAGTTTTGGATAGCCATCCAAAAATATTCAATGTGTGAAATAGTTTGCCACTTTTTGTAGACAAAATACGAAAATGTCCATTCCAGTGACTTTTTGGAGAATTCACAAATACAGAAAAGACTCACTTCTGAATATTTCGTTAACGCTGATTTCGTGGAAGAATATAGTCAAAATTCTGCATCTCATATGGATGCGTTTCAGTCAAAAACCAATAATAAATGTTAATCTTTTGCCACTTCTGGGAGATTATAGGTCTTTGGGAAATATTGGTTCCAGATCTAGGAAGCCCATTTACGTGCAACATCTACCAATAAATTGGAAATGAGCAAATTCGTTTAAGTTGCTATAATTCGAAAATTAGAGAACGAAACCTGATGGTTTTCTGTTATGATTTGTCACATATCTTGTGGAATCCTTTCGAGTATCTCGCCTATATAAACTGTACGATTTATTATAGTGTTGTAGGGTATTCAACGGTCGGCCCCGCTCGACTGTAGCCTTTGCTTACTTGTTTGGTAATACGGTCGTACAAGGCATTTTAAAAATAGATTTAAAATTTGAAGATTTCAATTTTTTGACTTTTTCGTTTTAATTATATACTCAGTAACGGCACCGTTTACTTACACGTATCAAAGTATTATATAAATTCAGTAACAAAATGTTAAGTCCGCAGATATAAGTTGTTTTATTTTTCAAAGTACTGCTCTAAAAATACGTTAACATACAAATTGCTATTCGGGTTAAACCTGATTATAGATCAATCACAATAAATTTGGCTATGCAAAACATACATTTAGTTTACTGTCATTAGGCACTTATCATAGTTAACACGCGTGGTTTTGTTTTTTTTTTACGCGTACTACAAGATTCAAGAACTTATCTGATATATATTTTTATATGCCTCCTTTCATATCGACACACACTTTGCGTTGCTATTGATAAAGTAATAAGTGAAATAGACATTAAATTTTTGCACTCACCCTTAAGAAGCCCCATTCCCATTTTTTCTCATTAATCAAGGTATCGTGACGGGTTTCACTGCTTATACGGCTGATACACTCGGTCGAGTCTTCAAGAAATGAGTTCATAGTTTTTTTCTTGACCGCTTTTCTTTCAAAAGAACACCTTCAAGAAACCAAAAACGTCTTCTTCGTGTTTACGGACATTAAATCAAATGATTAACATTTTTGATTGCGAGCTGCAAAATTATGATGGTAGTAAATAAAATGTTAGCACAAATTTGTTTTTTTGACAACACTTTTCTGTTATATCACAATAATTAGTTTAAAATATTTTCCGCATTTCCATTGTCTCTTTCTCGGCGAACACAAGAGGCAATGTGCAGTTTAGTTCTTTATAAGGCACATGTAGCAGCAATTTGACAATTTAATTATTTTTATGTATTGTATTGTTTTTTTTTTGAGATATTGTGAAAAAATTTTATGCTCTAATAATTATTTTAAATGTACTTTTTATTATTATTTATTTTATTAATATATATTTCAAATTTGACACTAATAAGTTTTTTTATTTACATCTCTATTTCCTTCTTTATTTATTTATTATTTACAAACAATTAAAAAGGCAGGAAAGCAAAAAACATTAAGCTCGGCCGGGCCGAACTTTAAATAACCTCCACCTTAGGGCAATGGAAACACTAGAACCAATTATGACCCACAAATACCAATTTTTAGACATATTCGTGGGAAAATCTGGCAAAAATCATCAAAGTACCGAATATCGGGAGGTACCGCTATATAGGGCTGTACAAAAGCGTGGACCTATGCATACAATGTTTCAGCGGACGAACTAGGACCCATTATGACCTACAAATACCTATTTTCACACAAATCCGTGAAAAAAGTGTGGCAAAAATCATCAAAATACCGAATATCGGGATGTACAGTTATATGGGGTCCATACCAAAACGTGAACCGATATATCTCCATTTCAATACCAACCATCCCAGACACAATACAAATTATTCTGCTAAATTTTGACGCTTTACGTCAAATAATGTGGGCTGTATCGTGATTTCAACAGACAGACAAACAGACAGACAGACGGACAATGTTAAATCGTCTTAGAATTTTATGCTGATTATGAATATATATACATTATGGGGTCTACGACGAATATTTAGGGATGTTACAAACGGAATGACAACGTTAATACACCCTACTTTCCAAGGTGGAGGCCAAACTTTAAATATCCTCCACCATTTAGAACGAATTTGAACATTTTCAAAAAATAAAATCCTTAATAAATTCTGTTAAAATTTTAAAAATACCAAATATAGCCGTTATATTTTGGGTCTACACAACGTGGACCTACATAGGCATTGTTTGTCATAAGCCATTACCATATTCAAATTCGAAACTTGAAATAAACGGTGAATAATGTAGCTAAAATCATCAACATATCGTATATAGGGAGGTACCGTTATATCGGAGCTATGCGAAGACCTGGGCCAGCATAGAAATTTTCTGTCACAGGCTGTAGCATCCATTACGAACTTCAAATACGACATCTCAAACAATTTCGGTGGGTTTTGTACCTAAACTCGTCAAACTACCGAATATAGGGAGGTACAGATATATGGGGCCTATACGAAGACCTGGACCAGCATAGGCAATTTTCTGTCACAGACTGTAGTTCCCATTACGAACTTTAAATACCAAATTTGAAACAATTCCGGTGAATAATGTCACAGACTGTAGTTCCCATTACGAACTTAAATTACCACAATGTCGCTAAAATCATCAAAATACCGAATACAGGGAGGTACCGTTATATGGGGGCTTTACGAAGACGTGGACCTGCACAGATAATTTTCTGTCTTAGGCTGTAGTATCCATTTCGAACCTTAAATGTCAAATTTGAAACAATTCTGGTAAATAATGTCGCTAAAATCATCAAAATACCGAATATCGGTAGGTACCGTTATATGGGGGCTATACGAAGACGTAGACCTGCACAGATAATTTTCTGTCTTAGGCGGAATCGTTTCAAAGTTGGCATTTGAAGTTCGCAATAGATGCTGCAGCATAAAACAGAAAATGGGCCATGTAGGTCCACGTCTTCGTATAGCCCCCATATACCGTACCCCCGATATTCGGTATTTTGATGATTTTAGCGACATTATTTACCGGAATTGTTTCGAATTTCGCATGTGAAGCTCGTAATGGATACATCAACCCATGGCAGAAAATTGTCTGTGCAGGTCCACGTCTTCGTATAGCCCCCATATAACGGTACTCCCTATATTCGGTGTTTTGATGATTTTAGCTACATTATAAACAGATCTTTCTTCAAGTTTCGCATTTAAATATTGTAATAACTTAAGACAAAAGTGGCCTATGCGGTCCACGTCGTCGTATAGGCATTCGGTATTTTTAAGATTTTAACATAATTTTTAACGGATTTTATTTTTGTTTTTTTTTTTTTTTTGGAAATTGTCAAATTTGTACTAAATGGTGGAGGGTTTTAAAAGTTCGGCCCGGCCGAACTTACAGCTTTTTTACTTGTTTTAATATAATACTTGTCGAAGCGATATCATGCACCATATAGCAATGTTATTTGGTATAAAAATTTAGTGGTGGTATGATCTACTTCAGCTAAATTCTTTTGTTACGGGAGCTCTACTAAATACGCATAGAGGTGTAGGGTAGCATATAGTCGGCCCGCCCGACTTTTGACTTTTCCTTACTTTTTTTTTTTTTGAGATCTTGCTTGGAATTTTGCTTGTAAAAAATAACTTAACTAAAATAAGAAAAAAAAAAACATTAAGTTAGGCAGCCCGGAACTATTAATACCCTCCACCATTGGTGAAGAAAACATTTTTATATAAAAGTATCAGAATTCAAACGTGTTCCACTTTAAACAACAAATACCAGTAAGAAGTTCTACATAAAGAGGTCAGCTGAAAATTTGCACCTTCGATTGGCAACCAGAACTCAAGCACCGCCATGATGATGGTGTAGGCCGCCATAACAGCCGATGGTCGCTCTCCGCTCGTATTAATCGACCTTGGCATCAACATAAATGCCAAATATTATTGCGAGGAGGGTGTATTAAAGCCTTAGGCACGCAAACATTTTGGCCGCTGACCTTGGACATTCTAACAGGACTCAGCACTATCGCTCTCAGCACGATGCTATTTCAGATATTTTTTGCTTTCATTCAATAAAATTAAAAAAAATAAAATTATGGCGTTTGATTTTGTTGCAGTTTTTTTTTTATCTCACCCTTTATATAATTTATGGGGTCTACTGTGGATATTTAGCTAGGTTACAAACGGAATGACAAATTTAATATATCCTCCTTTTCAAGGTGGAGGGTATAAAAATATATATTTTTTTACTATCAGCCACTGTGCCTATTTAGTGGCACAATTTTTTTTTTTGTAATTAAATAATGCACATAATAATGTACATAACTGATTTTTATTGACTTCTTTCTCTGTGTATTTGTGACGTATGTCAGAAGTGGAAGTTGTGTTCTTCACCATCAGTTTTTTATTTTATTTTTATTTTTATTGATAAATAATGTTGGCGTATGATAGACATCGGCAACAACAACTCTGAATGCAAACACTACTAGAACAACACAACAACATTTAAACACTTCAAATAATTTGTAATCAGCCAAAGAATAGGAAAGAATTCCTTTCACATACAACTAAACGCAATAACAATGTGGACGTTTGAAATGTAAAGAAAACAGATTACGAACTCTATTTAACTTCTCTTTCGAGTAGTGTTGCCATTTTTTTATTGATTTTGAATTTAATACTCTTCCGGTATGTTTGATAAAACTTGTCGTTTATAAAAGACAAACTGTTTATAATCGGTTTTTTTGTTTTACTAACACATTCTTACTGGGTGGAATGTTTTACTAACTGTATAGAATTTTTTGAAAGAGAGTGCATGATAACATTTTTATACCCTCAGCCATATGGCTACAGAGGGTATATATCATTTGATACGGTCAAAACGTGCCTAGTCGAAATAACGGTTTTAGACCCTAGGTCTCTTTGGACCAAATCCGTTTCAGAACATTTGGAGTCGATCTAGCGATGTCCGTCCGTCCGTCCGTCCGTCTGTCTGTCTGTCTGTCTGTCTGTCGGCTGGTGCGCACGATAACTCTTGAAGGGAGTATCCGATTTGGTCCAAACTTGATACATCGTAATATTTTTGTCAAACTTAGATCGAGTTCGGAGATGGGCAATATCGGTCCACTCCTTCTGGTACCTCCCCCACAAAAGGTCGAAATTTTCAAAAAATTTATTTTTTGCACAGAAAGAGAAGCGATAAACCGATTTTGCCCCAACTTTGCAAATCTTAATATTTGCGTCAGTGTTAGGTCAAGTGTGAAAATGGACAATATCGGTCCACTCCATCAAGTACCTCCCCCACAAATGGTCAAAATTTTGAATAATTACAACTCTCATAATATGTGATGTAAGAGTCCGATTGTCTTCAAATTTCACACATGCCAATATTTATGTTAGCCCAAGGTCTGATGTTAAGATGGAATATATCGGTTCATTCCTTCTGGTACCTCCCCCACAAAGGGTCGAAATTTTAAATAATTACAACTCTCATAAAATTTGATGTAAGAGTCCGATTGTCTTCAAATTTCACACATCTTAATATTTATATTAACCCAAGGTCTGCTGTTAAGATGGAATATATCGGTCCAGTCCTTCTGGTACCTCCCACACAAATGATCAAGATTTTCAAAAAAAATAAAATATATAAAAAAATATATAAAAAAAAATATTTTCTGCACAGAAAGAGAATCGATAATCCGATTTTGTTCCAACTTTGCAAATCCTGATATTTACATCAGTTCTAGGTCAGGTGCAAAAATGGATAACATAGTTCCACTCCATCAAGTACCTCCCCCACAAAAGGTCGAAATTTTGAATATTCATCACGCTCTTAAAACACTTGAACACGATTCCATTCCAAAGAATCCGAAATAAACATCCAGTTCTCTTCATATTACACACGTCCCATTATTTCTACTAACTCAAGATCTGGTGTGAAGATGGGATATATCGGTCTACTCCTTCTGGTACCTCCCCCACAAAAGGTCAAAATTATGAGTATCCATGAAGTTCATAAAACGCAAAATTATCATTCGATTCTATTCAAACTAGGATGATGTATTTTATCTGTATTAGATGAAGTG